TAGTAGGTAGGCTCTTAATACTCGTGCTGGGGTTCGGAGGGAGTTCATCCACGGTGTAACCACTGCATGTTGCCAACTCACCGGGACACTTCGAGTTGTCGATACATCTCAAGCAGGAACTCGAAGTCGAGCTCCACATACAGGTATACCAGCATTTCCCTTTCGCACAATTCTGGAACTTGCCAAAACAAGAGGCACAAGGCTGCGACAGCTTATTCATGGGATCATCCAGAAGACACTGCGCGGTTTTTTCGGCATTTCCCCATTCCTTCTTGGCACAGCCAGTGAGGAAATCGCTAAACGTTTGCCCATAAGAGGTCCAGAAATCATAATCGCTGGATGTGCACTGCCCAGCAAGAGCCCCAGCAAATGTTGCCGCTGCGATAATTGACTTCATCGCGTGATAGATCTTGCCACAATAGTTTTATACCTGATGATTGCAATGAGGACAGGAATAGCTACAGATTGTGTCAGGGGACAGATGGAAGATCCAGTCAAGGCAAGCCACAGAACCATCGTGCCATTGTTCGCTTGCGTTGTACTTACGAAGGAGAAAATGACATATCCCCAGCAGCTGGCAGACTGGTCTCGCAATGTTGTGGGGCTGACCGAGTGAGCGAGCTCGATGTCACCGATTGGGAGTCTTTTCTCCCAAGTTATCGAGGATGACATTCACAATCATTCATCCATACCTCGGTACTGGTCAACGGCTAGTGATTGCTCACTTCTGGGAGAGTGCTATGATATCATTGTTCATCATTGATGTTCCTACTCATAGAAATTACGATGCAGTCCCGACGAGTGAATACAGGATCTCCCTGTTTCCAGGATCGTTACGGATTTCTGCCGTTAGATTTCAGCGGCTATGGATTTGAGCCGTCTCGTTCACGAGCTGTGGATCAGAGCAAACCTCTGGAATGATTCCGACGTAGAACGTTAAGTGTGAAAGCCTGATCATGTATACGTAGTACAGTTCACCAAATAAGCTATGCTTCCCATGGATTAACCACAACTCATGCCTTAAGGAAAACGGAAACATTATGTCTTTTACAGTAGGTCTCTTCACGCCGCAAGCTCAGCTACAATACCAATACTAGCTGCATCAGCTCAAACAGACCCTACCGCAAACCTCACACATCCGATCAGTCTCTTCTAGCAGCTAGAATCCAGCTTGTCGAAGCAACAGTAATACATTACTTCTGGATAAGTGTTGTCATTACGATCCCCCAAGCATCAAAAAATCGAAACCGACTTCGATCCTCAAGACCTCGTAAACAATGTACGAGCTTTCGTTGCACTGTACACTGCAAGACGCTCGATGTTGCCACTCCCACCCTCAACAGCGACAGGCACGCCGAGCTTCTTCGCAGCGTCGCTGTACGGAAATTTAGCGGCAGGTCCACTGGTAGGTCCTGCGGATATCAGTTCATCTCTCCTTTTTAACATAAGATGAGTAAACATAGATGCCGTCAACGCGATCGCTCTCTAGCCGCGTGCTGATCCCGAGAGACTTCGGCATATTTTGCTGATCAATAACCCCCAAACTGGAATGACCTATGCAGTGCATAGTATGTGCCACATACTATGTGGGTGCATAGTATGCACCTAGTGCGACTTGCCCAGTGGAGACTCTAACCTGAAGGCATCCATTGATAGAGAGCAGGGTCGTAGAATCTATGACATGAGCAACGAACGAACGAATTCAGGGAAACCTGAGTAGCAGCCATCATCGCGCATACAACACTCGCGAATATTAGAGGGCCAACGCGACAGTGTAACCTTGGATTAAATAAGGTTAGGTAGGATTGGAAAAATCGGTTCAAAAGTTGATAATCAGTATTCATATAGAAGAATCACAAGTTGAAGTCATCCCCAGTCGGCGACGTCGTAAGTCTCCTTTTGATAACAGCCCCCACGCGATATAGCCAGTTCGAGGACTCCACAGGAGAATCCGTGCCTGGAGATGAGGACATGCTGCTAAGCCACGAGCCCGGGACAGACGGTCAGGTACGTAGCTAACCTAGTCAGCAAACTACCTTCTGACGTTGTGGACTCCTCCCTTGAGAAGTCCTCTGTAATCACTTCACGAGATGCTTTCTTATCGTCCGCTTGTTTCTGTTTGATTGTAGCCGCCTGTTTCTCCGATGATTCAACAACGAAGTAGTCTACGAGCTTAGGTTGGCCATCTGGTTGGGGCTTACGATAGTCCTAACGACTCGTTTATGATCGAACCGAACGAGGACGATAATGAGGCACGCTCACCGAGGGTGATGGGCCTAGTCCCTGCTCCACTCTACGAGCCAACAAGGTGAGATCGTCTTCCTCAGCTTTTCTCTCGCTCTTCGGTCGGTACTTGCTCGGTGTGATCCACTTCCAGGACGGCACCTGGACCAGGCAGATAGACGTGCCAACATGAAGAAGACGAGTGATACTCGTGAAGTACCTGCGAGCCCTTGGGCAGGAGCTTGCCATCCCAATAGGGGTCCGCCTCCCAATGCCTAGCAACATGGTCAATGCCAATAACGAAGACGTGTAGATCACCCGTGTCGGGACTAATCCACATACGCAGGAAATGCTTGTAGTCATGTATACGGAGGGAACTGAAGGCCTCGGTACAGTGTTGGCCAAGATAGTTAAGAGAAATGAGCAAGTAGACGCCGAAAATGAAAGAGGCAATAGGCGTCATGATGATGTAGAGGAAAGGCGATACCGAGGCGATGTAGCGGAGGTACTGGAAGCGGTCGATGGGCTGAGATGAAGACATGTGTCACATCTGACTAAGATTTGCGCTTACCATGTTGTTCTGTATAGCGGCGCAGACGCCGGCTCTATTATGGAAAGCATGGCTCGGTAGATCAGTGATTGAGATGAATAGAGAGTTGAGAGAAGCTGGGGTGGGGAGCATCGATGCCTGAGTGAGGAAATAGCAAGATGAAACGGCTGTACTTCTCGCTGAGCTGACCCAAAAAGGACCCAAGACCGATACGATAATCGCCTCAGTCGTATCAAGGATCTCCAAGCTGTCCCCACCAGGGGCTGTAGGAGTCACGGTGTATAGATACTCGCAGAGCAACTCCACTAAGCATACTGCAGAGACAGCCGCAAGGGAATGGCATAGGCCATGGATCAACCCAACGATGAACCTGTTAGATAAGGGAAGGGGTTTCCTCCAGCTTCCTCAAGAGATTTCCGTTAGCCTTCTTATACCTCTTGGCCTCCCCCATTTGTTCTTCAGCACAACCGATGCACATAGTTATGTACATTATCTGCCCAATCAGAGATACATACCTGACACAGTTGGGGGTGTGAGTGATGGAAACTGTTCAAAAGCTATTACGATTGGCGAAAGATTTTGTCGTAGGCCTCAACCATGAGACCGATGAACTCATATAGACTCAAAAAAGCAGTAGGCTGCCTTAACACCCTCCCCAGCATCACATAGGGGGAGAGCAGATATACTCTGAGAGAATCAGCTATGAACGACATGACAGAATCCTACCGTTAGCCAGAACGCTACTTACTCCAATAGATTCGCAACGAAGAAGATGTGCGCAGCCGAGAAATTACGATAAATCTCTTCAAAACCACACGACGGAAAACGATCACGATTTAAAGCTGACCCATGAGACTATTCCCGGCTTACCATTGCTAAATACCATATTCCTAATACCACATCCGCTCCCCAGTTGCGTCGGCGGAACTGTATGGGGTTCAGCCACGTCAAGCGCCGACTCACATTCTCGGGCGGATACGACTCAACACGAGAGTACCTATGAATGTCGCCATGCACTCCATTATTTCATGAACTCAGAAAGTTCACGACGGGTATGTCTGATATACTACAATGAAGGAGTTATAGAGAAAATACAATGCCTTCTCAAGCACAGGGGAGTACTGAGAATAGTCACATCAACTATACATGTGAATTTCTTCATGAACATATACCAGGGCCCGACCACTCATTTCAGAACTGCTGAGTGCACAACCATACTCCCATACTGGCTAATATCTGCCTGGTGAAAGTAGTGCTGCTATATATAAAAGAACTCACAATATGGTAACGAGCATAAGGATCAACGACAACCCATTATTGCCCTGTTCCGAGAGGCTCTGAGAGAGCCGTAGGAATCTTCTGGCCAGATCCTGTAGCAGCATAGGCGAACTCGTTAGCATTGAGCTTGGCGATTCGCTTGTCGACCGATTCTTTGCATAATATGTCTTTCGGAGGGAAGTGGGTAGGATGTAAGAAGGCACCGGCTCCACCTGAAGTTACCAGAGGAACTCCTTTGCTGCCATCCTGAAATTAAAATGAAATCACACTCGAGCTCATACAGAGCATATACCAAGAGTAGGATGTGGTAGTACAGCAGGCATGTATCGAGAATAGTGATGAGTGTCCCCTGCTAGCCGCATGCCTAAACGAGGCTCCCCGATCTTATCCAGTAGGACGCTGACCAAGTAGCCAGTTCTCTGAGAGGGGACGCCACATGGGCTGAGCCATGGTCATCGCTTCTCATCTCACACTGCGCTCAACAACATCACACTCCCAATTTGGTCTATGGGTGATGACGACCACGCGGTCTTCAGTGTCGACCTTGCCGGAGTCCAGAAGGCCACAGAAATACTCGTATTGTGGACGGTCTAGATCATAGGACAGACTGAGATCCAGGCCCCATATCCACCACCCATGGGATAGCTTCACAGCAAAGTACGTGCTCTTCTGAGGGACCTTCCACCCAGCTAGATGGTCTTGGCCCACCAACCAATGTAGATAGACCTCCAGACCATCGTACCTACACAGTGAACCCTACATAAAGGAAACGGAGACTGGTATCTCACCAGTCATGATTGCCTGGAATGGCGAAGAACTGTGGCTGATCAGCGACGGCCGAGGCCTTGGACACCCCAGTGGGGGCCTCTCGATAAGGAGGCAGTGCCCATTCGGGTGGACGTATTAGTCGGTCAACGAAAGCTTCATGACTCGGTACCGGATAGGCGAGGTCTCCACCATGGAAGACCAGGTGACAGTCGGTGGCCAGTAGCACTATCGGATGACGGAACTCTTTCAAGGCCTACAGTGTGCATCTCAGAAGAGACACTGTCTGTTCTCACACGATTCCCAACATGCCCAAGTAAAGGTATCGAGTTATGTCGTTGCAGTGTGAGGGACTCAGAGCTGTTACCTTCACCCGAGCTAGCCATGCTTCTCATACCGCTGATAGTGAGCTTACTCACCTTCTCAGCTACATGGTCATCCTTGGGTACATCAACCCCCAGGTACGGCTGAGCTATCAAGCGTCCAACCGTATAACTAGAATCGAAACCGTCACCACCATCTGCGAAGAAATCAAACCAGGTCTCCTCTTTATCGGATTGGTCCTCGAAAGTGACTGTCCCCTCCGGCTCACGGGTGAGGGCGGCCAAGAGCGTCCTCACATCGAACCGACCCATGAAGACTTTCAACATGACTGTCACCTGGGGAATGTAGGTAGTCATGAAGAGGCTGTACCAAGAGACCATAGCCTTTCGTAGCTTCGGATCCGGACCTCGGCGTTTCTCGGCCTCCTCTTCCGCTTGATGATACTTAGCCAGGACCGGTCCGGCAGCGACAAACCCATGACGTCGGCCTAGTATCCTCTGCAACAGCCATGATAGACCATACAGTAAGAACATGGTCAATACCACTGGCAACTGTAAGAGGATGGGACTGTCCAGATACTCGCAGTATCGATTGGTAAGAACGCCCAGTCTACTTTCTCCCTGTTTACAAAACCCATACTGGAGACTGAGAGCAGAAGCCATCAGGAAGAGATTGCTGAAGGACTCCTTCCGAGTTCTCCGCATAGAAAGACCTCTCATACGGAGGGCACCTTCAACGATGAAGAATCCTGGAAGGTCGAGAACCAGGGCGGGCAAGAAGAAGGAGATTACTGTGCTGAAACGGAAGGGTATAGCAGCTTCGGCAGGCGCCCTTTGTGTGTGACGAAAGACCATGATGAGGAGGAAGTATGTCGAGAGGTTCACAAACCAAAAATAGTGTGAATTACGGTCGGCATCTTGAACGTGTTGTAGAGGCGATAGGAACCAATAGAATGCCATGAACATAACCAAGTGGAGGAACACCCACCATTCGATCCGAAGACTCAGAGGTTCCTGTGAGCTTGAGAAAAGCTTCATAAATAGCGTCATCCGCTCTAGGTCCAACAATCAACTGACAAGAGAAACACCTCATCGTTCCACAATCATACATTCCACTGACCGTATACCAGCTAACAGCCTCTACGCAACAATGTCTATTGTATGCATGAAAGCTAAAAAGTGACCAGCAGAGTCACAAAAATTATATCAAGATTCACATGTTGAAATCATCGCCAAGCGACTCGTTAGACGCAGCCCGCCACAGGAAAGATGAGACCCGTCTGATGAGTCCCGTGACAGGGTTGGGTTCAGAAGTTTCCGCAGGGAAACCTTTACAGAAGTGCCATGTAGCATAGAAAAGAAAACCAAGCGCGTACTTCCTTCCGACCTCCCTTCTGTGTAATAATCATCACCCAACGGTGCCGCTTCACACATCTCAGGCCGACGCTTCTTCGAAGCCTTCACCACGAAAAAGTCGACAACCTTTGCCTGACTTCCTCCCTTCAGAGCCTGTCCAGTGTGAACAAAAACATAGCGTCAGCGGCGACTGGTATTCCCTCACTTTCCCATTTGGATTTTTCTTGACTCTGGGTCGGTACTTGCTAGGAGTAACCCACTTCCAGGAAGGTACCTTCACACGGATAGAGAGCTTGAGATAGAGACGTTATGACGAGAGTTGTCCCGGTCACTCTCTAGCATAGAAAGAGGAGGGCATGCCTTTGATACTGTCACACAATGGAAGTCCCGAAATGTGTCGATTGTGTCACCTTTTTTCATACCCGTGCGCTTTTCGGCATTAAAGTCCTATCCCAATAAGGGTCCATTTCCCAGCGAGTGGGGACGTGATCGACTCCGATTACAAAGCACTGCAGGTCTCCCGTGATGGGTGAGATATGCATCCGTACAAAGTTCTTGTAGTCTCGGATCTTGAGGGAACTGAACGCCTCGGTCCAATGTTGGCCCAAGACGTTAAGCGACACCAAGAGGTAACAACCAAGGATGAATGATGCGATGGGAGTAATGATGATCCACAGATACGGGACCAAGGGACCAATGAGGGCAATATAGTCGAGCCTCGTCAAATCCTGAAACACCATTGGAAAAAATCTATGAAATTCCGTTATCATAGCAGGAAGTGCGCAGGAGCTCTGCGAGTGTAAAGATTATCACTGACCTGATCCGTCGCCATAGTCGCACAAGCAGCGTCTCTGTTAGTGACTATTATCCTGGGAAGATCGCTGATAGAGAGAGCCAGCGTGCACAGAGACGAAGGCAACAGGAAGGATGGTATCTGTGGGAAGATACTCTTTCGGACCGACCTCAGACCAAGTAGACCTCGTAACTTCCCCCAGCAGTTTCGAGCACGATACTATCCAAGAAGCGTACTATTGCTGGAGGTTCAGCGTTGGTCGATGTATCGAATTGAGCCATGTAGACAGTGGCGCACTCAGCGAGGCATATACAAGCCACTGCTGCAATAGCATGACAGGCATAGTGCACGGCTCCTACCCCTAGCCTGATCGGCGAGGATGTGATACAGTCTTTAGATGATGAGCCTACTTCCAGGAGACACCCATATGGGTCTCAGCCAATGCTATCACACAGCCCAGGAAACAACAGTGTGTGAACAAAGAAAGGTAACTGTGGTGTGGTGACATCTTCCACGAGTTCTGGAGACCTACGATGTAGTATAAATGATATAGAACGTGTCTATCATCAGAAGAAAGAATTCCCTCAGACCCATCCAGAGATCGGCCTGAGCCAGGACCCGCGCTGACCCGCATAATGGGACAGCGGAAATAACCTGCATCGAGATCTTATCGAATTGCCAAAGCAAAGTGAGCCGTTGATCGTCAAGGCCCCACCATGAGTATGTATGATATCCCAAGTACGACGTCAGCACCCCAATTTCGATTGCGGAAGTGTGTGGGGTTCGACCAAGTCAGCGTACGACTCAAATTCTCGTCGGGGTACGAGCAGACTCTCACATACCTGCAGTCAAATCCTACTACAACGACATACCCGATGGTTGCGGGTTCAATCCACCATGGCGGCACATGCTTGTCATACAAATTCAAGGCCAAGCCTACCCAATGCCTGAAGCTTTGCTGATGTATTGAGGCAAGTCGAGACCAACTCCTGCAGCTGCGTGTGCATTCCCATCACGACTCTGTTCCCCCAATCTCGACGCCATATTGGCCGCGTTGAGAAAGTCCTTCGGTGGATAATGGGTCGGGTGCAAGAAAGCTCCTGCTCCTCCAGAGGTCACCAGAGGAGGGCCGTTTGAGCCGTTCTGAAACGATTCGCCCACAATTCCCTGGCTGTTGCCGACATGTCCTACGCCAGGCATATATCGTGTGTAGTGATGGAGATCACCGGCCAACCTCATGGCGAGCCTTGGCTCCCCGATCTTCTCCAATAGAACATTAAGAGTATATCCCGTTCTCTGAAGAGATCTCAGTTCGCAGACTAACGGGAAGATGCTTACCTCAGCGACGGCCGGGTCAAAAACCCAATTCGGTCTGTGCGTGAGCACTACAACACGATCGTCTGCCTCTACTTTGCCAGTCTCCAGCAAGGCACAAAAATATTCATATTGAGGACGATCAAGGTCATATGAGAGACCCAGGTCCAGACCCCACACCCACCAACCATGGGATAGTTTTACAGCGAAATACGAATGCTTCTGGGGAAGCTTCCAACCAGCTACTTTCTGGTTGTACACTATCCAGTGCAGAAACGTCTCTAAGCCATCGTGCCTGAGAGCTGTCAGATAATCCTCGGTCAAGCCGGTTGAGCTCACCAGTCATGGTTCCCTGGTATGATGAACATCTGGGGCTGCTCAACCGAGTCCTTGACATTATCCTCAGAATTGATTCGAGGTAAGGCCCACTCAAGAGGTCTGATGAATCGACTGACATACTCCTCATTGGAAGGAGAAGGATAGGCCACGTCACCACCATGGAATACGACGTCTGCACGCGGCAACATCAGCGTATTGCGATGTGCCAGGGTGAATCGTCCATCACCTCTCCCCTTGACCGACACAGGGGAGTCATCTCTCACGCTGTCGAAGGATGGTAAGGACCGAATCGTCTTCCTCGACAAGGGCACCAGTTCATCTACTTCGGTCGCGATTCTCGGGCGAGCAACTCCGTCTGCAGATACTAGGGCGTCTCGAGCTTGCGCGCGGAGAGCACGGTCATTCGGAACCTCGACGGAGAGGTGAGGCTGTGCCAGAAGTCGGGAGATCGTATAGGTGGAGTCGAACCCGTCACCACCGTCTGCCAGAAAATCGAGCCACACGTCTTCTCGACCGGACAAGTCTGAGAAGGTGATTTCCCTAGCATGGGCAGAATGGAGGACGCGAGCATCGAACTTGCCGAGGAAGACCTTCATCATGAGTATGATGTCGAAAAGATGTGTGGTCATGCTCAGACTATACCATGGCACCATAGGCTTCCTATCACGAGGATGGGGTCCTCGAAGCCTCTCAGCTTCACTTACATTGGTATCAATCGGCGGGCCACACGAGAAGAAGCCATGGCGTCTTCCGAATAGCCTCTGGAGTGACCACGAGCACGCGAAGATCGCCCCGACCGTGAGAATGACTGGACACTGGAATGTAACTGGATGATCAAGGAGTTCACAGTAGGAGGAGATATTCGAGGGCAAGTCGCCACGTTGCTGAGTGCAAAAACCGTATTGCAAGCTCACAGCTGAGGTCATGAGCAGATAGTTGTTTATAAATTCGCGGTACGTTCTGATGACCGAAAGGCCTCTGGTTCGAAACATCCCCTCGACGATACAGAAGCCAGGGAGTCCGACGATCAAAGCGGGGATGAAGAAGTTAGCGACCTGAGTGGTCTGGAAAGGCACTACCAGTCCTCGTGGAGCTGGAGGCGTGTGCCTCAATACATTCACCAAGAGGAAGTATGTGAGGATATGCAGACCCCAGAAGTAGTGCGAATTGTGGGAATTATCCTGAATGTGCTGTAGCGGTGATAAGAACCAATAGAACATCAAGAAGAGAGCACAGTGGCATACTATCCACCATTCAAAGCGTTCACTGATGCCGACGGATGTGACGACAGACATTGAATCAGCAAATCTACGACAAAACTTTCCGATTCAGTCGGAAATTGACCAACCATACCCACTCGAATCTATCCCAGGCTCCTACGAAATCGAAATTGATGACTCTCGACGCAGCACCAAACATCGATGAACCTTAACAACCATCCAGGCGGATGCAAGCGATCTCTAGCAATGCGTATCAAAAGCAATGAGATCGACGAGCCAACAACAGATAAACCACACGCTACACTCTCAGAGCCCTCTGTCGCGGGAAGTCGACATTTAATCGACGAAGATGTGCTTCTGGAAGGTCCGGAATAACGGAATTTTATAGTGTTTTATCTCATGGTAGAGAAAATGGATGAGGATAGGCTCTTTGCTGTTCACCTAGTGCACCCCGGGACCCTCGGTTCCAAAACAGGCAGGTGCTAATATACAAGCCACTTCTCGGTAGCGTCTGTGATAATTACAGTGTGGTAATCACGTTCGTACACAAATCACAATGCAAGTCGTGTACAATTGATATCGTCATATTTCATCGAGCGAGAAGCCGTGTTAATACAGCGACTGTATTAACACGGCTTGGACTGTATTACAGTCCCCGCATATGTCTTGGATAAAAATATCTCTACCAATCACTCCACGAAGGGTTGCGACCTATGTTGAGGCATCCCCGAACACCTCTACACCTTTTCTCGTGAAAGTTTGACAAGTGATCATGCGAGGATGACAGTGTTACAAGCAAGTTTGACTTTGAGAATTCAAGTATGTCACAATTCAATTATGTTACCATCAAGACTAGCAATGAAAATCCAAGTTTGTCGATCCCCCATTCCATTACAACCAACATTGTCAGTAGGAATTCATGATCGGCACTATTAGAATATATGACAATTAAGATTGACAATATACCACACAAATCTGACATTACGCACGCAAGTTCGACACTACGCGTCCAAGTTTGACACTGCACCTCGACACGTTGGGATCTGGCAAAAAAATGTTCCCACTCATAGGCCCACGCATAGCGGTTTCGCATGTCGCTGATCCAACTCGTTGTGGTCTGATCAGAAGCCTTACAGAACTGCCCAATCCTTCGGTTACCCACCTTTCTACTATGCTCTGGCCATGCCCGTTCTCAGTGAGACACTGGCCGAACCAGTCATCACCCAGCAGTACAGCCCCCCTGAGTACTCTACAGGGCTGCTTCTTGTGGTGATCTGAACAAAAATCTTACTATGTTTGTGTCCTCATTTTGTGCTATTTCACTCCCATTGATTCTTTCAGCTGAGGAATAGCACAAGCTGCGGTAGTCCCTGGGTGATATAAAAAGTGTAATAGAAAAATCTACTTATTCCTTATCAGGTTGGTTCATCAAAGGCCACAGCACTGCTAAGGTTGCCTGTACTCCCCTCGAAGACTGGTATTCCAGAAGACGATAAATCCTCTGGCGATGAATCCTCCATACTAGACATAGTACTATGGGCAAGCGATAAGTCGATCAAAGTCAACTTCGACAAGTGCCCACTAGTGGAGCCTCGTAGCACTGAACGGAACACATTTAATGAACAACAATATAATAACCAATTTTTACAACCAAGCTATGTTGTCAGTATCTCTCACCATTGGGGACCCCAATATTGGGGTATCACCGCCAAGTAATGGTACATGCGTCATCAAACTAAATTTACGAGGAAAAGCCCTTCATCGATTCGCTTCGAGCCAACGAGTTTGCGAAGGCCCTTGAACGTCCTTGGTCTCTCCGATTTTCATCAAGATTCCTATAGTATCTTCATTTTCCCTCCTGTTCACCTTCAATTCGCCTATTTTCCTCCCCAAGCTAGCTATCTGCATACGAGCTCGCCGCACATAGCGGGCTATGTGCAGATGCGCGCGCCGGCATACAAATACACATTCAACATGTTAGTGCCATAGTTGAGTATTGCAGTCGTCGCGACGCCCACTACGGACAGGCTGAGAGCGGTTACTACATACAGTTGGCATCGTGATACTTGCAGTTAAGCTCACTCAAGTCCGCCTCGAACGATCGGCGCCTCCCCAGTCAACAAAGTAGCTGCTACAACTGCCCAAACAGAAGATGATCTCCTTGTCGCGGTCTTGGAAGAGGTACTCGATCGATATGTTCGAGAAGAAGTCGCTGGTCCTGAGTCGCTGGTCCCGAGCCATCGACTGCTTCGACTATCCCCATCTGGGTTCTCCTCTACGACCTATTGCTCCACTGGCCATACCAGTGCTACGAAGCCGACTACTGGTAGCGGCATACGCCGTGGTGAGCGACCGTCCTCAATGTGGGGAGCCCATCGGAAGGAAAAACAATACAGAACTGAGAGAGGAGACGCAAGAATAGCAGCCATAAGGACTCAAGAGAGATGTCGTGGAGAAGCAGGCACGGCGGGCGGACATGCGGTGATGTATTGAAGGTGTGGTATCAGTAGAATGCAAAGTCCAACATTAAGAGAGACACTATACCGTTCTTTCACTGAGCTCGGGCTTCTCCAGGAGAATGCTTGCATACTGAGAAGTCTCATAGTCCACACAGGTTATGTCAGACCCACCGACACATCGTCATCGTCGCCCTCCTCGAGGCCTCTCAAATAAGCCTCCTTTTCCAACACTTCCTCCGCCTTAGCCAACCACTTTGTCATCCTAAGTTCAAAGACACACACCGTGGCAGGATATAGAGGACCGACTTTCTGAGGTCCTTTCTGGCTGCAGTAGTGAGACGGTCCGTTGCCGCACTGAGATCCCCAATCATATGCTCCATCGGGGAGGTCCACTCCGTACTCAACTAAGACCATCAACACATGGATAGACCGAAATGATCACGATATGGGGTGACAAGGTGAGGCACATTGAGCTAGGTCGAGCATACTTTAGTTTCGTCCCAAAACCCCCTGGGCTGCAGTTTTTCCAGTAACTGTGATGTCGCCTTCGCTGCAATGGAGCGTTCCGGCCCCTCCAGACTGTCTTCCAATCTTATCTGAGACTTCTCTTTGCCTTCGAGGCCCGTGTAGGACTCTCGCGGACTAAGGCGATATTGACTCTCACATTCAGCTGATAGAATCGACTTGAGGAACTATAACGTATTGAGCTTGTCAATAATTCCAGGGGGAGACGGATGCTTCCGGTTGTTGGTAGCCGTCGCCCTTGTAGCTACTATCCCAGCTACCTCTCTTTCATTGGTATCCTTCCTTCCCAAGATGACCCCATCCAAGACTGACAGACGCTGACAGCAGCGGTGCAAGCCTTGTGCTGAGCAAGAGTGCAGGAGTGAGCATGGATTGCCAGCAACCTGATCCCAGCCGATGGCACCCCCCTACTATATAAGTATCGCGGTCAAAGTATACCTACCGTAAGTTCAGCGAGGTCCTTCAGAGCGGTCAGCTCCTCAGCTACCGACCTGCCTTCCTCCAGTTTGTTGTTCATCAGTTGCAGCACTTCTACGTTCGGGCACGCTCTCGCCAACCCCCTCAAGGTCGACAGGCGATTGCTGGACAAGTACAGCTCAGTGAGGCGCTCACATACTGGGAGGCCTTGGATACCCTTTAGACGATTACAAGCCACAGAGAGGACCGACAGAACGTTTCCTTCTGGAACGAACCCGAGGCTCTTCAAGCGGCAGCCATCCAAAGTGAGCTCCTGCAGTCCGCGGATTCGCACGAAGACGCCTACCTCTATTTTATCGATGGGGTTGTATCCCAAGTCCAATACGACCAAGCCCGACAGTGACCGCAAAGCATCACGTACCGTCCCCCACGTGAGGGCATTGTGAGAAGCATTCAACCGACTTAGTCTCTTCAACCCTTCGGTTTCCTCCAAGGTCTCCAATCGGTTATGCTGACACTCTAAACTCTCAAGCGCCTTCGGTAGAGCACAATCGAACCGCTTCAGACGGTTGTTGGAGACGATGAAATGCCTCAACTGTGGTGGCCACTCAATCCTATAGAGCTTCGATAACATACACGATGCCAAGTTGAGTACGAGAAGATTACGCCACTGCAATCCGTTGGCGAGACCAAAGGACTCAATATTGTTACTGGACAGGTCCACTTCCGCTATCTTTTCCCTTCCTTTCACCAACTCTATCCCATCAGTGCTGCTCAGCATTTGATAGCACAAGTTTAGTTTTACTACTGGACCTTTTCTGTCCAGTCTGGTCGCGGCCCACGCGATATCTATAGACTCCCTCCGAGGGCGCAATGCGCTGGGGACCCAGCGCTCTTCCATCAGGGCATTCGGACCACCCCTGACAGTAGACCTCCTCGAGACTGATTGAGAGGAAGAAGAGGCGGTGCATGATGGGAAGCCCTTGAGGGCAGCATCAACTGACACTACCCCATCCCGCCGCGACAAATGACTGCCATCCCTAGTAGACATCCGAGATCCACTCAAACTACCATCACCAAGGCACTCTCCCGGCGAGGAACTATCGTCTCCAACACTCGTGCTCGACATCGAAGCGAGATTGATCTTGCCCGGCTCAGGTCTCGAGGCTCTGAGGATCCCTCTAGCGCCTCCTACAGCCACTTCAGGATCAGAAGTTTCACCGAGTTCGATCAGAGATGTGCTGCGAAAGCTAGGGCTGCCTGGGGCTCGACTACTATTACTGGATGCCCGCCATACCACGCCAGTATCATCACTCCTTCTCAAATCAAACCAGACCTCCTCCGTCCCTGAACGGATCCCCTCGGACGGCTGCTCGTCGAGCGAAGACTTCAAGCCACTGAGGATCGAGCTATGAGTGGCCATGAATAAAAAATCAGCTTAGGTCGCGATGAGTTTTTAATATTAGTACCCTCAGGTATGTGAGAACAGACCCTGCTGAAATGCAACAACGATCTTGCTGGAAACCACATAACTCCTATCACAAAATCTCTGTCATTTATACTGTACCCCGTCCATGGATTCCCTCGCACTGGGTACGTTGCCGTTGAACTCCGCTCCGGAAAAATCGAACTCCGGATGCTCCTCCTGACACCACGAGACAAGTACTCCTCAGGCGACCGCTGCCAAGTAGGTAACACTTGGAACCTCTCAAGCATGAGCTTCTCTATGAGCTATGCTGGGCCTGCCCCTCGAAGCACTGCATGGGAGCCTACACCACTTGAACAACAACCTCTAGTGAATGAAGGAATCAATTCGTGATTCCGAGAGAAAATCCAGCGGTCACCTTGGCCAGGATTATATGTATCTCCCCATCCTCTATAAACAGCATTGAATGATCCTTATCCACCAGACCTGCCCTGACCAAGCAACCATGTGATGTATAGAGACTGAAGTTGGCCTCGTTACGGTACATGGTTGAAATGGAACTGATCCGCTGCTTTCAAACTTAGCTTCACGGGTCTAGGCTCTAGTGAAATACAAAACTCTGAGATAACCTCACATACACGTGTACCTTCAATATCGGTTCGAGACCAGAACTGCTAAGGCATTGGCCCTCACCCCGATAGTCCACAGAGATTAGCACAGGCGAGTTCATGGATGACTGTCCTTCCCCCCTGATGACCTCATCTTGCGTCTGCTTCCATTCATACACCACATAGGCTTACGATTGTCGACCTCTCGCCTTCTTCTCCATCTCTTTAACCTTGGGATCCTTCTCATTCATCATCTACACAACCCCATGCTTTTTCCTCGCCCATCATCACAATTTACGTCACCAACTTAATCGTGGGAGTGGAGGAGAGACACCCGTATACCACTCCGCTGGTAACTCCCACCCTCCCAATTTCGCCACACATGACGCCTTGCTCGAACTGCGACATGTATCCCTCAGTCGAAGCACCTCCCAATTACAGCAAATCGACCGCATAAGCTCATTCAACTTATCATAGTCGAACACCGCCGAGCATCGAGCTGAGAATTCACGGTCACCCATCAATGAGGCCATCGATACGACCATACCTGTGGACCAGCTTCTGACCTCCATATTACACAGTAGAGGTTGAGATGACGAGAAATGCGCAAATTATTATATGACCGTCCAAATGACCAAAAAGAGAGCGTTCCAGAGCGTGTTCGGAGTAGCATCATCACCATGAGCACGTCATCGCAACATAGATGATGAACTGGGGGCGGGAGCAATATTGAAAACGTCGGGTTTTTCGGTGTGATCAGCCACCCCACTTGCGCATATGCCTACGGCAGAGGTATCCCTCGTGAGCACGACCATTTATTTATCAGTGGGGACCGTCAGCAGTACTCAATGGGCCGTTTGACATCGAGCTCGAGATAAAGAATTACTTCACTATCCAATTTCTTTAAACATCTAGTCTCATTCCAGGCCTTATTGTCGACTTCATCTCATGGCGCACTGCAAGATGTATCCGTCCATATCACCATAACATCGTTCCGAATTATCAGATTCACGAGATACGACCAAGCACTGTGCAACTCCCTTCTCCTCCTATTACCGTTCTGTGGATGACCATAGCCGCTACGGTGATGGCCGCTCCTCCACGGAAACCTGTAGTTTTGGGGTCACCTCTAGCGATGATCTCCCTCAACTCGGCTAGATTCCCTCCAACAGCGCGTCGTTTCGTGACTTTCTGAGAGTCACTTTCATTCTCAGTATCACATTCAATCCGATCGACTCACGCAAGCTGGACAAGATTGATTCCTAATACAGAGCCCGACAGCAGCTAAGCAGCTACCACTATTCGAGCCAAACCCATGTCCATACTCGCCCGAGACTGAGGCGTATCCAAGGTGGAAAAGAAGAGGATACGACTGAGGTTGGACTAATTCCCGTAGCCGAGATTATTACGCTGTCGATGAAGTAGAGAACATCAAAAACATTTATCTAGTTGGTGAGAGAAATGGTGGGGTGATGAGCGACTTTGGTGACGATGGACGATGGATGGACGATTTGCTCTGCGCGAAATTTGTCAAGTGAGTAATAATTTCCTAACCCGGAGATATTCTCTCATGCTTCATCGTTCTTCCTCCGTTACTCCTCACTGTTCTACAGTCTGAAGAGTGTTACTCTCGCCATAGGCTCCATTGACTGTATGTAGTACTAGAAATCTTTTGCAGTTGACCTTTTCGGTATGACGCCACCGTCATCCACCAGTTTCGCAGACGTCCGACGGCTGGTGTCCTCCGGCGCTCCACCAGCACTCATCGTCAGTGATCCAGCTTGGAAGAGGATGCTAGATGAGGTGATACAGGCTTGGTCATGGTCTCAGTAATGTAAGGATGAGTAGCTGTGAAAAAAACACTTCGTGACTTACTTATAGTCATCGCCTGACGTGGTACTAATCTCACAATCGATCCAATGCCCAAATCCAACTAAACTGATACCAGCGTTTGACTATGAACTCTCGCACATACTAGAGCTCGATGGGAGCAGACTGAAGCTTGCATATTGGTTTTGTGTACACCGTTCATGGCGTTCTCACGAACGAACCATGTCGAGGTGTTCAACATGGAATCTTCGGGCACTCCGACAGCACATGACGTTGTTTTATATTACTATACTCTGCAGATCGACACTGGGCTGGCACGACGAAAGGAGACCATCGACCGAGTTGCCGCAGACCTCAGCGTTATGCTGGAGGACAAACAGAGACTACCTGTCTACCCATCCGGACCACCTCCAGTCGGGTAGGTAGGAATCTCGTGAAGCATCCTGGTTACGTCTTTTCCTTAGCCCTGGCGATGACTGGTGGCCGCAGGAGGCCATGCCTGGATATCCTCCGCAGCACCCTCCAACGTGGGGTGGCCCTCAGGGATATCCTCCTCAGCATACTACCATGCCATGTAACAGGTTCCCCGATGCATTGGTCAATACCATCCTTCTTTCAGATCACATGGCATCCCCTCCAGTGTCCGACGGTTTCCCGGAGCCTCCTCCCTTTCCTACACCACCACCAGGTTTCAGTCATCCTTATAAACAGCAGCTGTCAGAAGAGACTGAGCTGCAGCGTCGGAAACGACAAGTATAGCCATCTTCATCATGGATCGTATCTACCATCTCTATCAGGCTCTCCAAAGGATGTCTGCGCCTGCTCCTCCTCCTGCTGCTGCTGCTGCTGCTGAGAGGAGTGTCCAACGGTGTTCATCCCCTGACTCTGGGTATGGACCTGCGCCCGACCCCGAAGATAAGGGTAGTAACGGTATTGCTAGGCTATCGTTCCTCGAACTAAAACTGAATGATCGTGGTTGTACGCACACGCAGACTGTACGTTAGTCCTGTCGATTTCATTGCGAGTGAACATCGGTTTACATCTAGTTATATCTTCTGAAATATTGTTTACTGATGATGGATACTCGTGGCTCATCTATGTGGTCAGATGCTTTCGAGGCTTATCGTCGATCTTGCTGGCTGCAGTACTACCAACACATGGCTTCACTCCAGACCCCAGGGCAGTCGGCTCCTCAGCAGCAACAACAGTCGAAGAAGCGTCCAGCTGCCATTCCTAGTGTGGACGAGGATGAAGATGATGATATCAACAAGGAACTGCTCGGCCTCTAGGCTCTATTGCTGTGTATCATTTACGATATTTTTCTCTACTGGTTTGACCGTGGTCGGATTGTCAGTAATAGTGTGCTGAGTGCGGTTGGACGTGGTGGGGGAGTTCATGCATTAGTAAGGATAATGACTGATGAGGTAAAAGGAAGAGCTTCAAATAATACTGCTCTCGTGCCTGTCACCATCCAGCCAGAACGTGGCGGAATATTTTACTCACGAAGGGATGCGAAATGACCACTGCACACTTGCAGATAATAGCAATGAGAGGACGACCGTCATGATTAGATTTGAACTGTAGACATTTGATGACGTAACAAGCTGCAGTTAGCATAGGCGTTTGGGGTAAGAACCGAGACAGTATCGAGTTCATCCAGGGATGAGGTATGATGAATACACCGAGCACAAAAGAGGGCATAACCTATCTATTCACTAGTCGAAGCACTGATGATGCTGTCTTGGATTTCTCTCTATAACGACGGTACAGATATAATTGATGGCTATGTGAGGGTGCCATCTTTATGAGATGCTGAACCGAAGTGAACACAACCATAATGCAATCTCAAAGAGAAACTCTCCATCACGCTTGAAAAACGTACTACTGACAACTCCGTCACCAACGCTCACTCGATGGGCTTCAACAGAGTTGTCTGCAGCTGATCAAGCCTCGAGGAAACGGAATAGTCGTAGACGCGATCCCTCACTTTAACGATCAAACCTCCAAGCATACCAGGAGATACCTACACCATCAGCATTATAACGGTAGTAATGGAAGTAGATCGTAGTACCTCGTATTCCAATTTCAACTTATGCTCTGGTCCAAGGCGTTTACCCAGTGCCCCTTCAACCTAACAAGGGTCATACACGAACGAGGGTACATATTTATATTACTCTTTTCTTGTCACTGTTATCAAGCTCTGTAGCAGTGACCACGCGACAGAGGGTGAGACCTTGCTCGAAACGGACCACCTCGTCGAACTTATCGATAAACTTCGACAGGTGATCCAAACGGTCGTTCTCGCAGAGGATCCCTGAAGTGATCAGCAATGAGGTGAATACAAAAACCTTCCTATGCGACTGGGGGGAAAGGCAGGCTACAGAGCTGGTGTATTACTGAGGAAGTTGGTGGTGATGTCATCAGTTTGGCACTTCTTGCAAATGTCCTCAACACAGGCCACACGTACATTCCTTTGCAGACCTATGAGACGGTTATAGACGCATGCGAAATTAGTGGTATTACCAGGAACAGTACAGAACATCGCGAAAACCTTCTCGGTTTGAAGCATCTCACGCAGCATCATTAAGTCGTGATAGACAACGTCGAGTTTACCCTTAGGGTTAGCCACGGCAAAGAGAGAAGCGGCGTACCTACAATGAAGCTAATCAAAGAGGTTATACCGCTCGCTCACTACCTCCCTTCCAAGGTGGTGTCTTCCAGCTTTGGGACGGACGCGCCTCCGGTGGCCGCTGCCTTGCCAGACTTACCCGTAGCAGCAGCAGCGAAGAGGCGGACTGCTGAGCGATTGAATGTCGGCACTCGAGTGAGAGTACTACGGGCCAAGCTAGCCAGCATACTTAAGGGAATGTTACGGAAAATATGCTGCTATTCATGAACACAGAGGCCAGCGTCGAAATGGACCCATCCATACTTGAGCCTTGAACGATTCCGTGAAACCCCGGATCGATTCCGAAGTCCAACAAGATTCAAATTCTATACGAAGGGGGAGTGAATGAGTTCTCAATGAGAAGGGAGCTCCTCTTCTCAAGGAGGCGAAGGCCTAGGGTAGAGGAATGAAAGAAAAGACCTACCCTGATATGAAAGGTGATAAGATGAGAGAAATTAGAAAAGAATTACCCGATGATAATAGTGATGGAGGTGACGGCCATTATGAGAAGCAGGATGTAGAGAACACTCTCATCGTCTATTCCCAACGAGCATCGTCGAAGACCGCAACCTAACGATTATATATGTGCGCGATCTATTCCGATTGTAACGAAGTTCCCCCAAGCATAATCGTTCCCTCGGATGATGATTCTCCACATTGCGTGTGTTGACGTTCGTAAGTGCCGCTAGATTGTTTAGTCAGTGGAGCTCTCGAGTTATCATACACTATCTGTTACATCATTGCCAAGGAGAACAACTTTCAAGTGCGGCCGGCACCTTTCAGAGCTACGTTTTCAGTTATAGGAACTATAGGACTAGGAACGATTACAAGAACTTCGTCGTAGTGTGCGAAGGGCGATCACACTCGTTATGGAGTTACTTGTAACTCCATTCATAGTGTCCGATTTTACTGTCTCCAATATGGACCCGGCAACGAAGAGTTTTTTCGTGGCACGTCGAAAAGAGGACCCCGAGAACGCTGTCTGTTGTGACTGCGGTGCTGCCAACCCGCAGTGGGCCAGCGTCCCTTATGGGATCTACTTCTGTCTAGTCTGTTCTGGTAATACCGAAGTGATACAATGTTATGACGGTACGAGAAGATGTGTGCGATTTGTGGTATTCAGGGAAGCACCGATCTCTGGGGGTACACCTTAGTTTTGTGCGCTCGACCACGATGGATAGCTGGAACCCCAAACAGTTGAAGAAAATGGAGCTCGGTGGCAACAGCAAGTTTAACAAATTCTGTCGAGAGATGGTAGCATAAGTGAAATCATGACGGGACTCATCATGTGTGTTAGGGAATCGACAAGATGTCGATCTCGGAAAAGTATAATACCAAGGCGGCGGAGTACTATAGGAACTACATTCAAGCTTTGGCTGACGGTACCGCGCCGCCTGAGAGGCCCTCGGTAGCTGACGGGAAGATGCCGGCATGTAATGGTGTTAGAGTCTCATGGTCGTACATGAAGTGATGTGTGTTAGATCCTCCTCCTGCTTCGTCGACTAGTGGTAGTCAACGAAGCGCGTCTCCTCCACCGGGGTCAGGTTTTGACTCGTCCAATGGGTATAGCAACGGGTCCAATACGCAGCGACAGCCTGGCCGGAATACCATGACGGGCTTTGGAAGTGATATGTCTGGTATGAGGAATCAGGGAAGCTCTGATCGATACAGCTCGGCAGGGTTCCAGCAAGGAGGTGAGGTGCATGCTCTGTCGTGGTCTAGGGAGTCCGGTTGACCGTAATAGGACCGAGCCAGGGAGACTACTGGCACCAAGATGGTCAGGAGGATAACGATCCTTTGGGGAATATGATCTCTGGTGCCGCGTCGTGGATGCGATCTGCGGTAGGATTTGAGGTTGTTGTGGTAGGTAAGACGTGATTGTTGTTCAGAGTCAGCAAATACAACATGACGGTTGGAATGCGACCGCTCAGAGTTATGCTCAGTGGGCAGCTCAGAAGAGCTCTGAAGCATATAGTACTGTCACCGACGAGGCCTTCAAGGATAAGGTTATACGGAAAGTCTTCAACTATAAGGCAGATGATGATTTCTTAGGTTCGTTCGAAACTAGCGTCAACGTCGGATTGGTTCTCGCAGCAGCTCGGTGGTACAGGTAGCTCAGCCAGGGGTGAGCAGGCAGCTGAGTATCTCGGCACCTTGTCGTCGGGAACAATGGAGGTAGGAGTAGCCCGAATGAAGGGATCTCTTATGGTGAGTGTACGCTGCAGGGTTTTGGTTCGGACTCTGTGAGGCCTCCGGTATCATCGGCGCCGGCGAGCACTACACGGGGATCTGCTAGGGGGGAGGCAGCAGCTGCCTATCTCAACACCTTGTCCACTGGGAAGATGGAAGTAGGAGGAACCAATTGTAGGTGGTTTGGTACTATTGGAATCCTCAGGGATTCGGTTCGGACTCGATGGTGTCCTCACCTCCTCACCAGGCAGGGAGTCATGACGCCCATGGTCGGTCCAATTCTTCACCACCACGCGCGAGTGACTCGCCGTTGATCGACTTGTCGTCCTCGACCGTCTCTAAACCGTCCCCGCAGCATTCCCAACCGAGGTCTGCTGGGCATCAGAAGGCTCCAAAGGTTGGAGGCTTGCAGCCACAGAAGAAGACTGGTGAGTGGTATTAGTTACCCTTTTCGTGAGTAGCTCGGGCTGTTGGTTGCTTAGGCACTTTAAGTGACCCCGAGGCTTTCTGGAATGAGGACAACTGGTGATTTGTTCACTTCCTCTCTCTACTGGAATCGTGACCGACACCAAGCCTGTCACCTGCTCCCCTCCTCTGCACCGCTATTACAGTCGTTTGTTTTTCATCAAAATGTACCATATAGATGGTCGGAAAGGGGAGTGGGTAACAGAAGTATCCTCAGTTCTTGCCATTCTGTAAGCCGTAGCCTGCTATAGTAGGTATGCATCGCTCCGCTAGGTCCGATTTTCAACTGTTAGTACACCTTTACTATTGACTTTCGGGTGTTGAGGTTCAGTTGTCACTGTGGGGCGATGTTAGTGTTCGCCCAATGACCGTGCTATCTGGGGAACCATCAGTGGTCTCTTCGGCTGAGTCTCCGCAACGGGAATCACCTGGAGGGGACTCGAGAGCTCCAGTCTCATCATCTGTTGCTTACACAGGACTGGTCTCTGGTTTGAAAAGGGAGAAATTCCTGCCGAGAGAGGTGAATGCAGTGTCGCGTCGGGCGCGGTAGTAAGCTGTGTAGATACAGAAATGGCTGCAGAGCCTTGACCTGACTTACGCCCTCAAGAACCCTCATCGGTGGGTGGAAACAGTGGCGAAGTTTGAGACGCTAATCGGGTTTAGTGATTTCGCCAACGGCTTCCTAATAGCTGAGATTTTCGCACGATATTTTCCTGGCGAAGTGACGATGCATAGTTTCGACCCTGGTCTGTCGCTGGCCACCAAGCAGAATAACTGGGAGACTCTGTAGCATCAACAGGAGCGGCAAGTGTGTCGGGTTCGGTCTGAAGGTTCAAGTTTTTCAAGAAGTACAATGTGGATATCACTGTTGAAGACTTCGAGCCAGTCATTCATAGCTGTCCTGGTGCTGGTATCAACATTGTCACCAAGGTGAGGACGCGGTGATTGATATAGCTGAGACGTGTGCAGGCGTATTATATTCTCACGAAGAGGCGCTTGGGTGGTAGTGGAAGCAAGACTGGCAGTAGAGAAGAGAGTGAGGCGGGTCAACTGTGTCGTAATGTGAGAGTTGTTGGTAGGCACTTCCTCTGTCGTCCACGGCGGTGTGGATAGTGATGCTCCGAACTACGCGAAGAACACGGCGTCAGTAGTACTGAAAGACCCGGAGATCGATAGAACTGTTGATGACAACGCGAGGGTTGTGAAAGTGAAGGAGCTTATAGATGGAGTTCTGGATGGTCTATGTAGGCGCTGATAGCTCTGGATGCACACAACCAAGAGCAGCTCAGTGAGAAGGCCAGGACGGGTAGCAATGACTCACAGTATCGCCTCTATCCACAAGGTAGGAAGGGCCTCGCTGAGTTCGTCATGGCTTCTCTGTAGGGCGTCCTGATGTGGGCCAAAACGAAGAAGAGCTTGAGCCTGGTGAGCAAGGTGGAGATGAGCCAATAACGGTGGGCGTTGAAGCACGCCAAGTGGTGTCTGTCTTGTTTATTCCTCTGGCAGGTGAGAGAGGCTAGAGAGAAGCTCTTGGCTGCAATGCTTGATCCGTGCGAGCCGAGTGATGAATTTACTGTGAGTAGAAGGGGGGGGACGGCGTGGTCTATGGTTACACCTATAGTAGGGCTCCGGGCTGCAGCGACGCCACATTGGCCTTGAAGCTTTAGGCTCTGCAGAAGGACCGTCACAGGGTAGTCTGGGCACAGCGAGTAGCTCCAATGGTCACATCAGGTGGAGCGGTATCGGTGTTGGAGGTGATTAAGTCTATAGTGACAGCTGCTGTGGAAGAGCACCCGCAAGGCGGATCCGCCCTATTGCAGTCACTGGGTCCTCAGAAGGATGTCATGGTATGGTATACTCTACTTGTCATCAGCTCTCGATGAACCCGCTTAGAGGACCCTCCTTGAGTCTGATAGCACTATACCGGCGGAAGTAGTGATGTCCGCATTGGCTGCTATCAAGGACCAAGCTGCTAGGCTAGCTCCTATGCTGGTCGATAAGTAACGTTCTCTATCATAGCCGAGCAGTGGTAGCTGTGGTCTTTGTAGTCCGGTGGAGGTATGGCGCTTGTGGAAAATCTTTGAGAAAGGCTTCAAGACGGTCCCTGAGGACTCCCCGGTTCTGCCACGGCTTGCTGAGCTCATGTATGCGATAGGCACTGCTATGCGTGCAGTAGATCCTCAGCTCACTGCTAGTGCTGCGAAGGATGTGAGCACGCCTGAGAGGTTGAGGATTCCTAGTAGAGGTTTGCAAGGTACTAGTACCGCTGTTGACCCCAATCATATGCGGTTCAATTGACGGTCACAGTCAGCATCTGCTGTCCTTTCTATTCAAGGTGAGTGATGGAGAGCCTCCATTCCCCTTCATATAGACCCTTGGTTGATCTGGTGTATTCAGGGCTTCGTAGGAGCAACGGCAGAGGACGTATTAGAGATGCTGCATGCATTGCGGGAGGAGATCGTGTACTGTTACGGTGGTAGTACAGAGAGAGATGGTCAGCCTCGTGGTGAATACTCATTACAGGGCGTATGGGGGAGGTCTTGCCACCCCTTGTGCGCTGTATGAACTTCATCATCACTCTGCGGCTAGTTGCTGACTATGAAGATCCGGCAGGCAGGGCCCTTGCTGATGTGTAGGGAAGCAGCGGCCCATTGGCTGTAGCTTTCTCGTTAGGTATATCTACTACGCGCTCCAAGGTGTTGATAGTAGTTCCTACCAGGCGAGAACTAGAGGCCTTGGGATACTCCTTGAGGTTGGTGGATAACTCCAGCTTCCGTCAATCCGGTCTGTCTCAGCTCGCAGCGAGTAGTTGTGTGTTAACTGAGGTGATCCGTGAGGCTACTGTTAAGACCATCATAGCGGCTACGGTGGAAGAGGTAGAATCTGGTACTTGCCTGGGATGGGAACAGCAGGTAGACAGGGGTCGAGATGGTGTGGGAAGGAAGAGTGGAGGGTTAGGCCGTGGTACTGGCGTTGTTACTGACCTTCCTTGATGTGGCAGTGAGGGGATCTTCTGAAGGGGTGTCCGCAGATGCCGAAGGTGAACATACTGAAGTGATCGAACCAGCGCTGTCTTTCAGATGATATACAGACTCGGGAAGCACTGGCGCTCCTTGTGAAGTTGATCAGTGGTACGGCATCGGTTGAGGTTCGCCAGGTAGGCACTGTGGTAGGCGGCAGCCCTATTAATATGTACTGCCAGATAGCCCTCGTCGCCTTGGCCAAGTCGAGTACCCTCGAGGCATTCGAGGGGCTTCTAATGGAGCCCTTCCTTGAGGCCGTGATTGGTTCGCCAGACGAAATACGGAGGTATAGTGGATGCGGCTCTGAGCATATTCGTAGTGTTGCTCATTAGGTCTGTTCTCTCTCCCTCTTTTGATGGTCATACTACTACCCTGCCTGTAGACGCATCTCCGTGTCTCCGTTGTTGGTGGAAAAGGCAAATAGAGGAGACTCCTCGTGAGTGCCCGCAGTAGTCGTCAAGGAGCAATCACTTCATCAGGCGGCGTGCGTTGGCCGAGTTGTCCACAAGTCACTGCCTCGGCACTCTCAGCTATGGTATCACGCAGAGAGGGCGGTGCGCCTATGGACTCGTTGTCTTTACCTCTGTTGGAGGTGCTTCTATCGGCATTGGTTTCCGCCCATCGGAGTCTCAGGTTCTGGGCAGTTTCTTGTCAGTGGGTGAGGAAGCTGTTGATTCCGCTGCTGCTCATACCTGGATCAAGCTTTTCCGAAGTCTGAGGTGGACGGGTCCCAGCCATGACTTGGCCATCGATGTCCTTGCAGTGGTCCTCTATTCGCCTCCCTCCTGATACCACACCTTCATGATCTCGCGGCGGTGTGTATCGGTCATCTGCTGTCAAAAGGAGTTCCGAAGGCCGTCTCTTTAGAGGAACTGTCTACACTCATTTGGCGGAAGATCCTCATGCCGTAGTGATAGTCACTTTTCCAGGGTCCGGTCCTATTGAATATAGGTATTATCGAGGAGGAGCTGCTCAGGCGGACGCCGTCGGTGAGGATCGTCTTGTTGAGTTCATTAGAAACTTCGAGCCGGAGAAAGCGGCGTCAATGGCGATAGATCAGTTTCGAGAGAAGCTGAACGCTGTGTGAGTAGTATAGCTACTTTGATGGGAGACGACTCGATGACTAGATACATCAAGTCTCCGTTTGAGAATATTTACGGCTGATGCTGATGCCGGCATGTTTCCATGCTGAGCTGCTGATGAGGGTACACAAATGAGGTTGTGTTTGTTAAGTCGTTAATATGATTAGAGGCTACGTGCTATGCGGGGATGTGGATGTCTCACAGTAACGGTATCGTTCTAATGCCAAGCCGTTTGCTAGAGGCAGACGGGCCAACATCAGCATTAACTCCATCGTCCTCCCTCATGGTGGATGAGGACCCTGTTGAGCTCTCTGTGTATCTGAGTGCCTCGAGCCGTCGCTCTCTACAGGGTGGATTCTGCCATCTGACTGCGTGGATGTTCACATCGGGAGACAAAGGCGGTCAGACTCTTGTCAAGGACATTCCTTTGAAACTCCACGGTTCGCGTTCCGAGGCTCAGAGGACGGCTACTGCGCAGTTCACTTGGACTTGGGACCCTAAGGCTTGTTATGTCGTATTGTACACGTTCCCGGCCACAGCTCAGTCGTCATCTCAATCTCGCATTCGAGCTAGCAATTTCGCTAGGTGGGCGCTGAAGGCGATAGAGATGTGCACTCCTCGAGGGTTGGCCTCTTGGGTTGGTGCGTCAGATCCCAACATTGAGGAGAGCATTGAACGTGGTGGCTCTGTGGAAGGGAGTGTGAGAGACGCCTACGTTGTATACGTTTGGAGCGGCAAGGATGCTGACTTGACCGTCAAGGTTACGGCTTTGGCTCGGGGATATGATTTGGGTAAGGCTCTGCGATGCTCAGGAGTGTCAGAGAGAGGGAGTTGGTGCGGCTCATCGGCGTTGAGAAAAGTTATTGGGGTTGACGCTCAGCCAGATGGAGGGGATGAGTCGGATTATACTCATAGTACCTCTGGAGAGGAATGCCAGCTTCTTCGTTTGCTGGAACGCACGCTCGGAGGAGAGGAAACAACAAGGGCTCATCAGCGGCAATTCAAGCAACAGTCCCAGCCATCAGAGGCACATGAAGTATTTTCACTGCCGACAAGTGTTGTCCATGGTAAACCACCAATGGTACCAAGCCTAAGATTGGGAACGATAAGTGCTACTGCGGACCAGTCACGTTCCGGCAGAGGCTCTTCTTCTCGTCGTGAGACTCAGAGCGCTAGAGCGGGGCCGAGTGGGAGGAGACGTATGATTAGCCCTACCGAGGCCGATCTCTTGGAGAATCCACCGAAGTCAGCGAGATCCTCCGAGGCCTCTTCTGGGAGAAGGCAACAGAATGCTGTGGCACAACCGCTGAATATACCCCGGTGAGCGTAGCGAAATCACGCCTGTGGCGACTTTGTGGATGCCTGAGAGGTCTGGTTCCGCCATTTTAGGCCGAAGACTGATCTGGAGTTGATTCAGTCATTTGACCTGAGTCCAAATGCCGATAATTCACATCTTCCTGCTGAGGTTCAGAACGAGCTCCGTTTGCATCAGTACAGGTATTCGACAAGAGCGTTCTTAGCAGTTGCCAGTGTGTGCTTCTAAGGTCGCAATGCAGCGAGATTTTACCTGGGGCTCTCTACCTCGGGGGAGCGAAGGTTGCATCAAATTTGGAGATACTGGAGGAGAAAGGGATCACCCACATTGTTAACACGGCGGCTGATGTGTGCAGTAACTCATTTGCAAACAGGAACATCAAGTATGCTATTTGGAACAAATCTGTCCGGAACCCTAGAAAAGGTTCTACCGGGATTTGAACCCAGATCGCCAGATTCAGAGTCTGGAGTGCTAACCGTTACACCATAGAACCAGATGTTTGGAGTCTCTCGGAGCTCCTGGGGATCGGATGTCCACTGCCTGTGCTCAGGTATTTGACCTTATTCCTGAAGGATGCGAGAGACGAGCCTATGCTCCCTGCAGTGCTTTATTGTACTATGCTGTGGATTCATTCCGCGATCACGGAAGCAAAAGGCAAAGTTCTAGTCCATTGCTTTGAGGGAGTAAGATGGTGTTTGAAGGGGATGATGATTACTCTACGGATATTTCAGGTTAGCAGGAGCTCTACAGTTGTCATCGCATATCTGATGTGGCTCAGAGCTTGGACGTATAACCAGGCCTTTAACTGGGTCAAAGCTATTCGGTACGCTATTCAATGGGACTCGGATGGTATCATAGACTGCTCCTCTGAGTGGTTCCCTCAGGCCCATCTGTAGCCCGAACACGGGATTCACTTGTATTCTGATAGTCTTCGGCAAGAAGCTTGAAAGGGCGAGAGGGCCTCAAACCTTGATGGAGGCGACCGCGGCTTATCCCACCATCTCGAGGGTCACGGTGAGTTTCGCTTCGTTTTGTACTTCGAGGGAGGTCTCTACTACTGTTTGGAGTGCTGTAGGTACACTCATTGCGTACTCTTCCTACAGCTGCGGCACTCATGATCGCCTTGCCAGTCTCAGCAGGATCGGCTTTGGGTGCCGAAGCCCCTACGATACCGTTGAAAATTGATTCTCGGTGGGTAGCGCTCACTAAGGTTTGCATGCAGTTCACTGAGAACTGTTTGCAGATTCGCCCATATTCTGCAACACGACAGGTCGGTCGTCATTTTGCGGTCAGAAGCAACGAGAGCCGAGATAATCGATACGGCAATCGCTGAGCATTTGCGCCGAGTACTGAAGTGCAAATGTCTCTCTTTCTCTCCTCGAGGAGTCTACTACCATAACGGAGCTTCGAATCGGCAATACGGCGAATCAATCAGGTTCGAATTGTCGAGTTTGGCTGCGATGAAGATGAAGATGGTCCATTGGAAGTCTTTGAAATATTTATTGATGGTGAAGTTGATAATGAATCGATGGCAGCTCTTGGGAAGATGATTTCCCCGAGTAAGCATACCGCGGGTCAGAGAAAGGTAGATGTGCCGCTCATAGGCTCCGCGATCACTGAACTCTCTCTGGAGTCTCTCATACAAACGATTACGAATTCAGCGTGGGATGAAGAGTATGGTGACGCCAGCGATTTCATCCATGGTACTGATCGGAGAACAGATACAATGCTATAACCGAGAGCGAAGGACGACCTTTGGATGCATCCGGGGATGGCACTGAGACGCCGAGTATGACACATGTGGCAGACTATGTAAGCAGATGAAGATAATAAGCTGTGGTAGGGTGGTCGATAGGTACCGCCAGTAGGCCGCGAGATCCTCTCCCTGGGCTCGCTCAATGGTGCGGGGAAGCCGACTCCTGCCAAAGATCATGAGGCTCGGGAATATGATGTATCGGGCGGGGACGCTGACGGAAAGACAGAGGTTTACTGCTATCCCGACGTAGAGTACTCCAGTCGGCTTACACAGTAATTCGTGTTTACCTTGGCTGCATCAGTGGACCTTCTGATGTAGATTCGAGCCAGATGAGCTTGAGGAGGGTGAAGTTTTCATTATATTCGTGCCACGTCGGAAGCTGCTGGTCATTTGGGTGGGCGAGGGCAGTGCTCAGGTCGGTGATGAACTATGACGCATTAGCGACTCTCATCCTCCTCTGCAGCCACCGGACCAACGAATCGAGAGTATACGCAAGATCCTCTGCGAGCGGCATCATGATATGGATGAATCGTCAGTTGAAGTTGAGGTAGTATATCAAGGCGAAGAGATGGATGAGTTCGAGGAGTACTTTGATGATGATTAGTATCATTCATGACACTGGTATTGCCAGCGACTGATGATGTCTCATTTGAATGACACCTACTCCTGTTGCTGCAGTAACCCGGATATTACCATGCACTCATATCCAATACAATACTGTTGAGTTTATGATGGAGTCTACCAATTGTTGCTCGCAAATCTTGCAAATCTTGCATTTCCTCAACGCCTATTCTCCACGGACACGCAGTGCTTCAAGAATTCCGAATTGATGTTTTTGTAATCGCGAGTTAATATTTGTGAATAAGAATCAAATGCCAAGTCCCGAACAACACTTATCACCAACAACTCAACCCCCTGTTGGCTGTTCTTCTTGGCACAGCACAGATGCCCAACTTCTCTCAGAGTCGATCAGTCCCCCTGGCCGTGGTCCGGCCTCTACGACCTCAGCCTCGAGCGGTGACAGTACGCTCAGTCGGAGGGTGAAATTTGGCGGTTACCCGTCGTTCGATCCTACGGTTGGTAGCGAGTCTGTGGTCAGCGGAGTTCAGTCTCTCGAGTGTTGTGGTGACACGGACGATCTGGAGGAACGGATAGCTGCTCTCTCGAATGATGTTTCACAGGCTCATATTGAGCTCAACGAAGAGCGGCAGAAGCGGCGGCTCTTGGAGCTGGAGAATGAGACGTTGAAGTTGAAGGTGTTGTCTTTGACTATGATGAACCCAGAAGCCGCAGCCGCGCTGGAAGCTGCTGTTGACGATGGTTATGATAGCGGCAATAGTCTGGACCTCTCGCAGATCTATCTCGGGAGTAATGCGAGCCATCATAATCGTAATCGAGCGATGACGGCAGTCGAGTCTCAACAATCATTACCCATGTGCCGTAAGGCCACCGTGGATGATGCTATTTTGGCCATGGAATTCGAGAATAAGGAGGATGTGCTGGTTGTACGCCACATAGGGAGTCTCGGTTTCGGTCCGGCTCAAACATTGGCTGCATACTTCTCAGTATTTGGTAGAGTACAGGAGGTCATAGAGATTGAGGACAGAGACGAAGCTATCGTTGTCATGGCCGGTGGTCCTGGTAGCACTTCATTCTTCCCCCACGGTGTTAAAGTGGTCAGTGGAGGCGAGGTTGAAATCACTTCTTACGACGAGGCTTTGTCAGCGGGTTGGCTTTCGGATGCTCCGACTCACGATACCGATTCTCGATTCTCGATGTCGATGAATAGCAGTGGTCGTCTTGGCAGTTCGTCGCCCCTCTATGGCTGGCAAGTGAAGACTCCCAGGGGCTCGGTGACCCACCAGAACTCGCTGAGGAGTCATGCACAGACGTGGGATGCTAGCAGCTCGCTGCCGGAGTCATCAAAGGCGACTGAGGCCGGCGAGCCGCCACGGATGAATCTGTTGGAGGCGTTGCAAGTTTTCAATGCAGAGGATGAGAAGAGGGTTTTCACGGTTCGGAAGGTGCACAAGTTGGGCTTCAAGTCACAGCATGCCTTAAGGCAGTACTTCAGCCAGTTCGGTAGGGTGAAAGATGTTGTTCTCCTCCCGATGAGGGCCAAGCCGAAGCCAGGCCCGAGCGGTCAAGTTCGTGGTGTCCGCCCGAGTTCGATGGGCTTTGTGGTCATGCAACGCCCTGAAGATGTGCAGAAGATCCTCGCATACGGTGGTGTCCATACGATCAAGGGCTGGCCTATCGAGGTTCGACCCTTCGTACGACCGAGCGATAAGCGAGATTCGAAGGACAGTACTCCTGATGACGGGTCGCCGAAGAATAACAGCAGCGACTAAGCCTGTGAAAGCCGATGCCACGCTGAATGCCGTTTCTTTGGTCGTAATATACTCTGAATGATTCTGTTTCTATCTCATACCTTTTCTTCTCTTGCTGATTTGTATCATCATCATCATTACCAAACTAGAGTAATAGCGTCTTACGCCCTGTGTCGTAGACACGGAGTTTCTTTATCACCAGTTCACCTCGCGACACCCATTCTCGCCATGGGGCCTTTGAAGCCAACTAGCAACAAACCTCGATAACGAGTGCTTTCTGGCTCTCCCCCTTGGCGTGATTGACGACCCGAGGTGATTGTGATCTCTCTGAAGTTCTCCTCTATCTGTGGTTTTAAATTTCACTCAATCACCATGCCGTGCTCATTTTTGGGTCGGCCAATATAACTTCACGAAGCAGCGGCGAGGAGTTTCTGATTCCCCCGCGAATGCTCAAAACTAGTGCGAACTGTTCTATATATCATCATCATCATTGTAAAGAGGCAAGGCCCCTTTTTCTATCATCATAATGCTGGTAGTTTTTACTATGGTGATGTGTCTATCTCTAACCCTTGTAGATGTATACTCATCACCGTCTACAGTGCTCTCCTTCTGGAAGTGTCGGGCGAAATCGTCCCGGAGCGTAAGCGAAGTCATTGTTACTGTTGCAAGTATTGTGCGTTGTCGCTATCCCATTTTCGCGTGGTGCTTTCCTCTCTGCCAAAGTGCTAGGTTGCGTTACTAGTAGTAACCGGCGAGTTAGAAGCGTCGAACCTTCAGCATGTTCCATGAAGAATAAGGCGTCGTCATCTGAAGCTGTCGAGCGCTTCTTCGCGGACTTCGACCTCGGGTCCACGGATCACGTGTCTAGCGGAGACTCCTATTTCGACTCGCACAACCAGAAAGAGAGTTATGAAGTAGGTTACCACTGATGATGGTAAAGGAGATGAACTCATCGACTTCAGGAGCTCCTCAACGATGAAGTTCATCAAGAAGCTTATCGTAGAGCTATACTCGCCAATAAGGACCTTTTCACCGACCGCATCATCCTAGTGGTCGGATGCGGTTTAGGCTCGGCGCCATATGTGGTGGCCGAAGCCGGAGCTAAGATGGTTTTAGCACAAGAGAGAAATCAAGTAAGTCCCATTGGTCCATGAATGGTCCGGAATGGATACCTTGTTGCATGTGTTCTTCTCAAGACAGGTCGCTACGTCCCCGAGATCGCTCGGTTGAATGATTATGAAAATATCATCAACGTCAGAGGTGACGTTAATGACCCTGGGTTTACCTTACCGTATGGTATTACCGAGGTAGCATCTTCAACTGCAGTGCTATTCGCAAGCTGGGTGTCAGGTTGACATCATTGTGTCGGAGCCTATGAGCTACTTGTTGCTGCACGAGTCTCGTATCCGAGACGTTATTGTGGCTCGTGAGCGGTTTTTGAAACCTGGCGGCAAAATGTTCCCTAATCGGTAGTGGGGAATGTGACTCGGGGATGCTCCGGAATTACTATGCGCCGTTGGTGGATGTATTGGTTAATATCCACTGCGGCTTGAAGGGCCGTTGTCACTGTTAGGTTTACCATGCACCTTTGCGCTGTAGCAGCTCCGCAAGAGTATACTATGTGGAAGGAATTCTGGCAAGATATTGGTGGATTCGATTTCTCGGAGTAAGAGTTAGCTCTATATGCTTGCACTACTGATGCCTCTCTGACCAGTCCTTGTCTACGGCTCACTCTGGGAACTCCTCTCGTATGCTCAGCTTCACACATCGGTTGCGATAGGGATGATGAAAATGGAGGTACGAACTGCCAAGCACAAACTGCCGAGTTGCATCTACGCCGATTCTTAGATGCGTGGCAGAAAAGTCGATTGACATCAACTTCAGCAGAGCTTTTTACTGTGGATTTGCTGACAGCTCCTGCAGACCTCGCAACGTGGCCAGAGCTACTCTGTGGAGAGTTTGAGATCTCACCCCGAGTAGATGAGCGAGATGTAGATATCCGGGATGTTCATGTAGTAGTGGTGAATACCATGATCAATGTCGGCATTGATTTCATCGCTTCTGTTCCAGTGGTGGGATAGAGACGCGTTTGAGCACGAACACCGCGTCGATGCACTAGCAGTATGGTTTGATGTGAAGTTCGATCATGCCTTTGTTCCCGTTGAGTACTCCACTGGCCCTGAGGCCCCGTGGACTTGTTGGCAACAGACCATATTGCGGGTGAAGACACTCTGATATGTGCACTAATAGTGATACACTTGCTTGGTTTCAGTTACCAACATTTTCATTCAACAATGTTGAAGACTCGGATCGGCCTCCAGAAGCTCCAGCAGTGCTGCTACCTGGTAGCACCATCAGAGGGCGTATAGCCTTCTGCCAAGCCTCACTGAAGCGGCGAGATATAGATGTGAAGATCTCTATGGAGGATGGCCGTGGGGGGAATATCAATACGTATTACACATTGCAGTGATTCTGTGTTTCTAAAGCATGTTGCTACACTTTCGTTTAAGTTGGGTTGGTTCGGTGAAAGGCAATCATACGACCTTCTGGAGCCGTTGCCGCTACTCCCAGATTATTGGAAGTGCCTCAGAGGCTCAATCCGTTGAGGCGTTTCCAGCGACCGAATTTTCGCTACTCTGCCACGGTGGCTGTGCTGTCATCAATGTCACTCTCCACTCTTCCTGTCGATACGCTAGGGCACATAGTGGTCCTCATTGGCATTATGCATCATGGGTAGCCTGTCAGCAGTCACAGGTTGAGCCCTTCATGAAAACGTCATCTAATGGCAGGACGAGTGAGCTCTTGGGAGAATTGCGAACGACTAACCTAGCTCAAGAGAGAGTCCTTCAGTGATTTGGAGTTCCATCAAATCAAGCAGCTCCAAACAACGATCGAGATAGAGGTGCAAGGAATACGTAGGTCACCAATTCCTTGCACTTCCATCTTATTTAGGTGGCTGATCTTAACCGACAACCTCACTAACTCCATTATCATGGATGTTCTGGAGGCGATAGTCATCACCATGAGGTCAGCAGGATGATTTGAGAGTCCCGGGTGATCGGCTCATGAAGCTCGTACTTTGTGTCTCCGGCGATATCGTCCGATAGTACTCATTTTGACGGAGAACTAGTAGCGACTTTTAACACCCTCCGGCCCGTCTCGAGAACGCAAGTTAAATAACCAGACTCTGGTTTCGACCTTAGGCATCCCATGATATGGGTGTTTCAGCACCTCATAAAGTCTCTGGGCAACTCTCCATTCTTATGGTGTGAAGTTAGCTGAGTCTGTTCGATTCTATCGTTAAGTACAAGAGACCCTGCGGATGTCAATGAGCTCTCAGGAAACTTAATTGAGCATAGCAAATCCCCATTGACAACATTCTTAACACAACAAAGCCGAGTGACTTCTATCTGCATCACAACGTGAGCGCGAACATGTTATGGATACTCAATCTAATGCGACGAGTGTATTTGTTTCGTGAGCGAGTCTCTGACACTTGATCAGAATTATAGGGAGAGCAATGCTGTCACCAACGTAACCAGTGATGCTACAGTGGTAGCGGAGATTGCCGTTGCCGAGTTCTAAAAAACGGGTCAGTTGAGAACTTCATTCCTACAAGGCGTCGTACCTTAGTTGAAGTTGCCGGAGTCGCCTGGCTCGCATCGGCCTCTTTAGTGGGAGGGAGAGCAGCAACCTGACAGAAAAGAGGAGCATCCAATCCGAGTTCTAAACCCACATCCAGTGCTATAACGTGAACATACCTTGGGATCCGAGACTTCCACTTCATCCTCCGCTGTCATATCCACCTGCCCCTCGCCTGCATGCGGAGGAGTGTGTGGTTTAACGGGAACCGCCTTGGTAGTCGGTTCAGGAGTACTCTGCTTCGGTGTGCTCGTAGAAATAGGAGTTGGCTGCTGAGATGGCTCTTGCGGTCGGGCGCCGCTGTTCTGTCGTGTCGGCTCTTGTGTTCTGGTGTTGGTGTTATCTTGCGCATAGCGTATCGGCTTCGTCGTCTCCGGCTCCATACTGGAAGCACTTGATAAAATTTCGGTGGTAGCATCAGGAGCTGAAGTAGTGATAGGAGCTGTCCCATCATCTGTGTCGTTGGTTGCATCTACGTAAGCGGATCGTATTTCTGTGGCCGTACGGTTTATCTTTGGATACCTTCTCCTTCGCCTTCGTCCTCCGTGATACTTTCCTTATCGACAGTCGAAGCTCCGGTCTCTTGCGGTGACATCACTAGAAATGCTCAAATAGTCTTCGATATCATTCAGTGCAAGTACCTTCTTCGAGAGCCGCTGGGGCGTGCTCTAATATAAGTCCTTTTGGTAGTTGGTCTCTTGCTGCGCACATACGAGATATTATTTGGGGAACCGAAAGCCCCATGCTGCCTTCTCTGAGCATCTCGATGCATGCCCGGTCGTCATCAGTTGGGCTGGAAAAGTAGACGATCCTAGAGGCAACTGTAAATGATAACCCAGAGGTTCCTTTTTGGGGGACTCACTCGGACTTCCCTTGTGCATCATCACAACGGAATGCCACAACCCAAGAGCCTTCAGGAGAGTGGTACATGGCGACGACAGGTCGCGAGGACTCGCCATCCGACAACCCGCAAAGATTGGGGGCGAAGGATACGATCTACAGCGTTAATCGATTTCGAGACTAATGAACACGATTCTATATCTCACGGAGTCTTCCGAGTTGCTCCAGCTGGATCCGTTCGATTCCATGTCCGCTGTGGTAGAATTATTTTCGCTCTTCTCTCCGACCTCCTTTCCAGTCGTTGGCTCTTGTTCGCTCTCACCAGCTGCTGCTTGTGGCTCGTCGTCGGATTTCTCAGACTTATTGGTAGACATTGCTAAGGAAGACGAAGCAATTGTTACTATGATCAGCTTGTGAACTTTACCATTCACGAGCGGGGTGGGGGGTTCCTCCAAGACGAATCTAGGTGGAATCTGGTTTCTTCTGGCGCACATTAGAGAAGTCATCTTCGCAACAGGAAACTCTCCACTCTGTCTCCTCAACATAGTAACGCACTCCACATTACTATTGTCCGGAGCAGAGAAGTAGTAAACTCTGAAAGACCGTACATACTTATAGCGTATACTTCACAATTTGACACCAACCTGGCGGTCTCGTTCTGGGAAGCTCCACATCGGAAGGCAAAAGTCCACCCACCAGTCGGGAGGCGGTAGATCGCAGCTGCGAGCTCCGAAGCCTTGCCGTCAGACAAACCACAAAGGTTAGGAGCAAGCGAAACGACCTACCAACAGTGTAGGTCAAACGAAGGGATGCTGAATTCAATGGGCGTGGTTCACGTGAAAGTGTCTACACCATTCGATCTTCATCGGCCGTGTTGAAATACATGTTTGATTTCCACAGCTGAGTTTAGGAGTTTGCTTACTAATCATAGAAGTTCACATACGAGTTCTGGTAGGCGTGTACAGGAACCAATACGAACTTCCCAAATTCTTTCGAGACTCATATCGTCACCAACACATGTGGTTGACCATGTGCATATTTTCTCACACTGTTCCCCGGGTGCGATAAGACACCGGTGAGGTCGCCTTAGATCAGACCACGCGACAGCCTCCAGACTCACTGAGTTCTCCCATTCACTGGAACCAGTTTTCCTCATCTTGTGGAGCATGCCTTGTCGGTAACTCGAAGTGGGTTCACTCTCGACATTGTGCTTGGGGTTGTTGACGGCAGAACCAATCTTTCTCCTCAAACTGTGGTGGTAGTCGAATTTTGGGTTGATCATGGATGGAGGTTTGCTGCCATTCCCGCATACAATCTCGACAGCTTCCTCTGCACTTGCGGTATCCGGAATAGGAAAACTCTCCAGAACTTCCCGGCAAGTGGCATCACGAGCACTCATTATTTGCATACGACGATTGTTTGTCTGTTTCTGAGGGCCACCCTTGTTCATCAGTCGCTTCAGCTGCTGCTGACAGGGTCCAGATAACTCCCAGTGTCCTTCCCCTATCTTCGTGATGATTATGGCAGGAGGACTGATGCGAGAGATGGAGATTCCGCATTTGACATGCGAACCAGAATGGTCCTCTGGTATCTACGAAGCATGGCATTTGAGATTACCGCGAGACTCATTAGACTCACAGCTTGCTTCCAAGGAGTGGTAAGTCCACGCTTGAACTCTGGGAGCCAGAAGGATCTGAGGTATCAGAGACTGATATGGACGAGCCGGACGGATAGCCTCACCCGGTCTTCCCGATGAGAAGAGCCATGGATAAGCATCTGCTTAGGGTCTGCATTGCGCGAAGGCTTGAAAAGAAAAAGGGGCCTGTAGCGGAGGGAGCATCCGGCAAGGAAGTGGTCCATTCACAACTCAGCTCAGCCCGATCTAAAATGACACAGTGCATGCACATGTATATGTTCTAGCCGAAAGCGGCCTGGAAAACGATGCGTTAAACAGCATAAAGCGCAGTCAACAAAAGCATACTCAAGATACCGGATGGACAAGCCAGGGGACGCCCACTCGACCTCTGAGAAGAGGAATTCATAAAATACCATACATTGCTCAAGTAGTGCTATTCTAACTAACGGCTACCATACTTCGGCTAGTTGCCTCTGGAAGGCTTCTCGGGGATGCAAAACACTTTCGATAACACGTTTATCATCCGTCGTGATGAGAATCCTGGAGTTATCTCCTTTCTGAGAAAGGCGACATAGCTCGTGCAAGGAGTGGCAGAAACTTGACGTTTCTTACAGGTTCGATTCTCGAGACTCTGTTCAGCTTTATGAGCTGATCTCCAAATACAGTCGGCTCAGTATATGTGATATTTTGATGGTTATCAATACTGTTCAGACTGGCGCTGGGAATTGGATTGGATTCTCGTTCTCCAGTGCTGGAACTGTGTGTAGCTGAGTCGCGCCTCCTTGCGTCAGATTCATCAGTCTCGGAAGTAGTCATATCGGTGTCTAAAGGGTTAGGAGCGAAGTAATTTCGGGCCACATGATGCGGTCGAAGACTCTCCCGCTCAGAGAAATGGGGGTGAATTCCAACGGAGAAGCCTCATTACGGCGGGTGACCTACCGTGGGGAATTCCACCTGGACGACCTGCCCTGCTGTTGGTGTGACTGCTGGTTTCGGAGTTCTTGAACACCGACGGCTTGAGATTAAATGCTGTGGAGTATTCGTTAACTCCCATGAGACGAATTGGAATAACGCTACCTTCCTCCAGCGGCCTGGGAGGTTGTTCGAGTTTGTATTCCCGAAGGAGCACATCGAGGGAATTGCAGAGCTCTTCAATGCCCTGTAAGCCCGGGAGATCACCGACACTTGGGGTCGAGCTGAGATACTCCTTGCAATCTCCCCTCAGTCCGCGGCCAAGCTTGACAAAGTGGGTCCTGAGAGGTTAACCCGTATCCCACCTCCAACCTTAGACCTGTTTACTTCAACTGTTGAGTGTTGATGTCCTTACACTTGAGCCCCATCGACCACTGATCGTCGACTGGAGCGAACAGTCCAAGGGAGAGCCCAGGCTCACCGGGGTGATAAATACCACAAAGATTTGAATCAACTGATACAATCTGAGGGACATCGTCCAGTCGTGAGGGATACCATAGACGCAGCAGGTTACCGAGTCTCGCCAAGACTGTCCTCCTGTGATGGCTTTTGCAGTGTCCGTACGAGTACTATGGTCCCCTAAGAGATCAAAAAGAGCATCAACCGAAAGAGACAACTCCACTATGAGAACAGCGTGGCGCTACAAGCACGGAGGAGTAGAATGATGAATTATGGTTGTCCGAATGACATAAATGATCGAATATCTACCCCAGGTAGACTACCAATAACTTCCACGGTAGTGGTTGAATGTTTGACCAGCGATGTCGTGGTTGACACTCTTGTTGTTGGTCTTGTCGTAGTGGTCGTTCTCATCGTCGTCGTAGTTGTTGTTGTTCTTGTCGTAGTAGTTGTTGTCGTAGTTGTCGTTCTCGTCGTCGTCGTAGCTGTTGTTGTTCTTGTCGTAGTAGTTGGTATAGTCGCCGTGACCGGCTCCCGTTCATCGTCAGGAATCGGTCTTGTCTCCGGAGTCCATCTGGCTCCACTATTGAGTTCGTCTTTCGTCGCTTCTGTCGGTCCGGCCTGTACGCCAATATCCGGCACTGAATGGAGCTATAATGCAAGAGTGATCGGTTAGGTATTGTACCTTCCGAGGACTCATTTGAACCGTCATCCGCCACGCCAGTCTCCTGATCCTTCACAGGCTCTTCCCATTTCCGAGATTGAACTAAGATACGAAGATTTGCCTTACCCTATCTCCATAGGGAGCATTTGCTTCGGCCGAGGGGCAGCGAAGGAGTACTCACGACTTACAGTAGCTAGCATCACATATAGTCTTTTTGGCCCACTCGAGTGATTCTCCTGGGATGAATCCAACCGCTCGGAAGTATTGTATGCACCATTCCTTGTTGTGAGGGCCAGGGATGTCCAAGTCTTTGGGCACGTAGTTGATGTTTCGGAAAGAGTTGAACCCCTTTCGATGGCAATTGGTGATGACATAACCTCCCGGTTTAATCATCATCTTTACAGACTCAGTGGATCCAAGATCGCAGCGATCATGATAAGCGTAATAGGATGTTTGTTTTTCCCAGGTCGTTATCGGTCTTGCAGTTGTCGTCGTTGTTGTTGTGGTAGTAGTAGAGGTAGTCGTGGTAGTCGTAGTCGTAGTTGTTGTTGTTGTCGTCGTTGTGGTTGTTGTTGTTGTTGTTGTTGTTGTTGTTGTTGTGGTTGTTGTCGGGATTGTCGTCTCCCTTGCGCCACTGTTACCTACGCTGATGTCTTGGCCCGACGTCCGACCGTTATTAGTCGTCGTATCTGCTTGGCAAAACTAGCTTTCATGAACTTCCGACAACCAATGAAGCCCTCACCTTTAGCGAGCTTGTTCGCGACATCCTCATCGGCTCGATCTCCCTTGGGCTCCCTCCATTTCCCCGATCGGACTGCCAAAGAAAACAAACCATTCATGCAGAACTTTCTGGTTTATGCGGTCCGATCGGCCGTCAAGAGCGCGACGATCAGGACTTACAGTAGTTGGCGTCACACATGGTCTTCCGGGCCCAGTCGAGGGACTTCCCAGGAAGGAAGCCAACCGCTCGGAAGTACTGTATACACCACTCTTTGTTGTGGGGTCCAGGGATATCCAGATTATTAGGAACGTAGCCGATGGTTCGGAAGGAGTTACGCCCTTTCCGATCACAATTAGTGATAACGTATTTTCGGAACTTTATCATGATTTTCACAGACTCGGTTGTCCCGAGATCGCAGCGGTCATGATAAGCATAATAGGATGCTTGTTCTTCCCACGTCATGCCGGGTCTCACCGGTATCTCTGAGGTCCTGACGCACAAGAACCATGGCTCTGATGTGATCCTGAGGGACGTACCAGGTGTGAACCTCGACAGACAAGAGGAGCATGACGGCGATGAAGAGGCCTGATGTTGCCATGAAGAAATGGATAACAAAAGAACTGACGGCAGCGATAACACTCATCTCGGGTAAGGGGGTAGTCCTAGATCTTCAGAGCTTACAGGGCTGGGTTGCTATCAGAGATATCCGACGGGGAAGGTTGCCTTCCATTCAACTACTTAAATACTATAAATACTCAGTAGAATTGTAAGTGGGGGATTCTCGAGAATGACGCACATGAACGCAGTATCCTCGCTATCATGGTAGGAATAATAGAGCACTGATTGATCCTAGGACATGCTGAACCGTGCCGATCCTGGTCCAGAACTCCTGAGACCGTAACCTTCTGTTATTTCGAGTCACGTGCCATGCCAAAATTAGAAGGCAGCGACGCGGCGATAAAACAGTCGATATCAACATCTAGCTGATTCAAGTTGTTTGTCGAGAGAGATGTGCTGTGAGCATGGGACAATGTTCCTAGATCGAAACCTCAGACGCGGTGCCTTGAAGTACTGTCTTGATACCGACTGACCCAATGAATGTGAAGGCGGTGCCACATTCTACTATGTGAGAGAACGATGCTGTGATTCACGCCACGTACAGCGCTAGTAGCGCTGCGCTACTCCGACTCTTGACAGTTGATTCCCTGACAGGCTGAAGTGAGAGGAAGTGCTCCTGCGGATTGTAGGCTGATTGATGATAGTCGACTACCACAGTAAGGCTACTACCCAAGCTCGGGAGTTCCAGAAGAACCACTTCGAGCGACCTCGAAAACCGCGCGATCGCGACCGTTTGATGATGAGAGAACTCGCCCCGTTGTTGCGCCTGCCTTGCGCTCGAAAATCGATGTATTTCCATCGCGTGCGCTTCCAGAAGACGTGCTGTATCGTGGCATCCCCATCGCCTCTCAGCTCTATTTACGTTCCGAGTCACGAGTGTGTTATCCGAACTACTTATACTAACTCAACATGAATCGAAAACGGAACAACCACAAATGACATATCCATGCACACACTACAATCCCCTCGGACACGGCTCTATTCTCCACAGAGACAACGGGCCTTTGCTTCGAGACCTTTGTTACTGTTTCACTCGTAAGGCTGACCTGACGAGTGTACTTGCATTTTTCACCCGAATAGAATCTTCCCTCGAGAGTTACCGTAATGCAGCTCTCCATCATTCAAGCGCTCTACTTCATGATGCAACTCTGGGAGGATGTCACTAGCTATGTCGTAATTTTAAGTAGAGATCTCATGCTTCCCAAGCCGCAAGCTTATCGCGGTAATCATCGTCCAGTTTGGCGATTTATTTTAGTTATTCCCACACCCGCACGATGTATTTTCCACCGCAATCACTTACACTATTACTTGAGCTCTCGTCACCTTGTTTGCATCCCTGCTCACGGCAGTGTGAGTCTGCACAAATTCTTGTCTCCTACCCCCTAGTAGTAATAGAGGTATTCTTCCTAATGTGAACATTGACCAATTCCCACTGAAAAGCTGCTGCTAAACGGTGCTTATTGGTGAAGTCGCTAGTCTTCCCTCTCTTCCTCCTCAATTCCGTGATTCCGTGATTTCGTGCGCAAGCGTAATTCGCTCATCGGAATGTTTACACCATAACACAGTGATCCTGTCGAGGAGCTCCAAGATACACTCAGAAAACTAGACCACTCACGTTACATCGTCAGTGTTACTCCCTGCAGGGATAGTCACAAACTCCACGGCATTTTTTCCGGTAGATGCCTGGGGCTCGCCACTCTTGCTATCGACATGATCTATGGAAGGAGATTTAGAGTGACTTATCGGTATGGTGAGGGATGGCATGATGAACTACGACCAACATGTAACAACCCGCCACTATTTTCTCACTGAATGATAACCGCGAACACGCATGACGGACCAGTACAGCTTTATAATAGTAGCTAGGGAGGCACCTCAACTGTGGGTGCTATATCACTGGACATCGCATGCGCCACGTCAAGTGGAATTGAGCAACTTTCATCGAAAAGTTCCGCGGCGATAGCTTCTTCATCATCATCCTCTCCATGATGCACCTTAGTAAACTCACGCCACCAAGCAACTAGGAGCGGATTTGTGACTGAGTGGATGAGCTAAACGTAACATGATCGTACCACAGAGATGACCTACGGAGGTCCAGCACAGCTTTCTTCAAGTTCATCGCTCTCTGTCCTTCGCCGTCACCACCTTCCTTCTTCGATTCCTGAACACTCATTCACATTCGTTCAAGATACTTTCTGATGTACTCTCAGAGCATGCTTCTTTAAAGCAGCCTCCCGCTTGCCTTCCTTAGTCCGAGCTTCGCGCTCTTTCAAGCTATTCATGAGCCGTCGAATATGGAACTGAGAAATCGCCTGCGGATAGAGCAGTAAGGCTCCCCCTCACCATTCCGAGCACGCATGGGATCACCACCAGCAGGGACATCACTGTCTGAGACAATGATAATACTAGCATGGCTATCCATACCCCATGCATGTACAAAGCTGATCGCCGTGAATGCCAAGTTCCGTCCGCCTCGTCGTAGCCGAACAGCAGTAGCTTGGACGGCCTCATCTCCTGTTGTCTGTAGGTAGCGGAGGAGGAATTCCATTCATTGGATCATTAACTGTCAATCAACCTTACATCCATTCTAACTCGAGATAAGGTAGCCTTATTGAACAAGGAATGTGGTAAATGCATACATGTGAACAACAATGACTAACCAGCATCATCACCTACTCTAAAACAGCATCGAAAGCACCACTAGTGCTGTAGAAATCATCCTTGCACTTTCGAGTAATACCATAGTACTGAGAAAATGACCTGACAATCTTGAAATGGTGATTCTTCTTGTCTCACCTCGGTGTTTTGTAGCGACTTTGGTGGCAATGGAAATCTTCGTTCGACATTGGTACCGAATATACTGGGTTTAACAGGTCGGGGGTCGTTCTGGAGAGGGAGCAGAAAGTCCCCTACAATAGACTGATATAACCGACCCGCTCACCTTGCATTCCAGCTCCTCATGAGGAGCGTAAACAAAGCCAAAACTGAAGATGGCCTTTCGATAGTTCTCGAGCGTCGGAATAGGTTTGACCGACTGAAAAGAATCATCTCCCTCGAGAAAGGGTGCCCAAGGATGGTACCTTGCCGATAGAGTCTACCCAGTCACTACCAATGGCAGCTGCCACGGCTGCTGGAGGTGGCCCTTTTGTTATCGAACATGACTTATATCTAAGACTCATCCCACATGCTAAAGTGAGAGGCAGTGGCCTCACGTTTCCGATGGTGGAATAGGCCTAGCTTCCGAGAGGTCCATTTCCTTCAGCCACTTTGTTTGGACGCCTATCTCCTTAGCTATCACCTCAGCGAATTGCATAGCAGCTTGATTATCCATGGTCGTTGTAAATCAAAAGCGTCTCAATTTTACGACTTTGAATCATGCGCTGACATTCGCGCACGCCCCGAAACCGTTGAAACCTACGCACCTAGGCGTAACCTATACTGAATGGTCTAGAGGTCAGGTGGGATGATTCCCGGAAATCAGAGGGAACTCAGGCACTGCCTCGGATCTTAAACTCTACCGCATAGACTCTAGCTATCCGCTAGCAAAGCAAACTGAGGTGATGAAGTCGATCGACACGTGGTTCACGAAGGACTGAGAGTCTGTTTTATGGATACCTTGCGATGCTGAACGTCTGAGCGCCTTCCGAAACCCCATCTTATGTAGGGTGGTCTCCTGCTTGCTTCTCTGATTCCGAAATAGATTTCGTAACAGTCAATAAATCGCTATCGTCACCTGTGTCTTCTGCGGTGACTGTGGTTTCGGAAGCTTTCTCAGAATCCATTTATATGAGGTTCCGATTTCCACCTAGGCTACCCTCGATTCTCCAGTTTGATGGTAGAGAGTATTCATATCGATATCCTTGTACCTTTTCTTTGGCTTTTATCGGTCGTATAGTATTCATCCAGGCTGCAAACGATAACCCTATGACCACAAAAGATGACTGAAAGTGATCATCGGACGCAACACACAGTGTGCACGCACTGCTAATCTTCAGGAATGATCATCGGTATACCTTCTACTGAGTAAGTTTTGGTTTATTTTAATACTTCAAATGGCCACGGCACCGGCTCTAGCAGCTGCAAGACTTGATGCTCTGCATGGTCTGCTCGGCGACATGTGTGATGACTTGGTGGACCCTATATGGAACTATCTTCCTCCGACTTACCCTAATGGTTGCACTCACATCAAAGGTACACGACTCCCTGATGCTTTCGCCCCCCTCGAGTTTGACTTGATTGACTCGGTCGAACCCACTGAGATGCTAGGCATGATCGGCCCAAGTACTGTTGTCGTTGCTTCTTTGCAAGGCGGCCCGCAAGTGGGTCCGCATCCGCTGTTGGGTGGGTTTGGGATCGACCCTGCTCGCCAGATACCAATGAACGATGCGAGTCAGAAATCTCCCGAGGTAGTCTGTCACCTTGAAGGTGTATTGCAGCATGGTTGTCTGGTCAATGGGCAGCTCTATTACACTCTTATGGATGACCCTATTCACCTTCTCAGAAGACCTGTCCTACGAGGGCCATCCGCCCCAGCGATCATGGAGCTTCCGGAACAATGCCGTCAACTGAAACCAGTTAAGGACTGCCTCTTCCTTGTTGGCATGGAGACTGATTGGCTATACATGCTCAGTCCCAAGAGCCGTGAATTCAAGAAGGTCCTCCGGCTCTCTCGCGATCTTGATCGCCTGATCATCTGGGATGATGAAGACGAATGGGACCCCGGCTTCATCATCCCTGACCCTGTGTTCCAAGATGCTATTCTGGAGAAGGGCCGTCCGACTCACGTTCTTTATACTAAGGGTAACTCCAAAGGGGAGCTCTGTCTTTGGAGGAGAGGTATGGGTATTGTGAAGGAAGCTCCGGAGCACAAGGCCATTGCTTGCCGCTTTGTACCTTTCACTAACGGAAAAGTCTGTGCTGGCTCATTCGGTGGCCAACGTGATGAGATGTTCTTCGTTTACGATATATACAAAGATGCCGTTGTTGCTCCGCCTGAGAGCCATTGCAATATGGAACTTCTCCCCCACTGTGAGTACGAGTGTTTTGGGTACGAGGACATACATTCCCTGACTATAAGTGACGATTGGACGGCCCACATCGCTATCCGTGGGAGACGAGAAGCAGTGCGAGGAAACAGAGTTACTTATTGCGCAGGATACTCTGCCATGAAGCTTCGACACTATGTGAGGTACACTCGTCATGAGGATCATGGATTCCACATGGAATACATAGAAGAAGAGGAGCGTGAACTGTACGGTTCTGATTACGATAGCGAGGATAGTGACTTCTGATTGGTTGAGAGGTTATATCAGCGATTGTTTTGCTCAAAGTTATATCAGCGATTGTTTCGACCCCTCCGAATCGAGGGGAGGAGCGGGACTCTATGATTGGTTGTGGAGAGCCACGATGCCTAGCTAAGAACTGGTCAACCACTACTATCCCCCCGGAGTTTTCTTACTATTATGGAGTTGAGTGAACGCAGTTATTGGGAATCGGGGCACCTCTGACTTCGCATCGCCTCCCCCACACGCATACAGTCTAGGTGGGGCCAGTATGTCCGGTAATGGGGCCGGTATGCCATCAGGCGGGGCCGATATGCCATCAGGTGCGGCCCATTTGTCTGCGACCAGACACTTGAATTAAACGAGTGCAGACATCAATTGGCGCTAGGGTTCGAATGAGGATATCGAATTGGTAGAATAAGGATTCGATTCATCCATATGCTTCAGAGGGGTGTTTGATGTCATAGAGACCTCGAGTTTGATTAAAGAGGACGACAACTCGTTGCCTCCTCGGGAATGAACGACTCCAACATCCACAATGGCTGAGTCACTTGTATATTTCCTGGTTAATCGATTGTTCGGGAGGTTTCGTGTTGGTCGAGGTGCTATATGAGCACGTTATTGCACACAACCCGCTAACACGAACGCCGCAGTAATAGGAATGAGATTATAGCTTACACATTTCAGAGCAGCACATGCGGTTGCCTACGAACTCAGTCAGGAGGTTTTCTGCGCGTCAAGGAACGCCATATCCGGAACTAGTGATGGCTGATGACTGCGACATCAGTGACTATGGACATAGTGCAAGAGCGTATACTAACCACCGTATCAAAGACACCTCCCAATCTGTCTCTAAGTTAGCCCCCATCCCGCCTTCTCATAGCCAATGGGAAGCCCCAGTACGTCATAAGCATTCGACAACTCAGCTCAACAGATGAATGAAGTATGGCGCGGTGAAAAACAATAATGAACAGCCTGGAGTATTTCCAAGCTTGGACAAGACCACTCATCTCGGTTCGTTCCCCCCGGGCGTTGGAACTAAAAATAAGAGTCAACTGCAAGCAGAGTAAAGTAACGTCTTTACAACGTACCCTCTCGACAGGGGCTGGGTGGTTCGACATCCCACAATCCAACACCATAGAAAACTCGGACCTGATCTCGATAAATAATGGAGAGACGAGAGCAGAACAAACTCACGCTAGCAATGTCACGTAGCATTTGCAGGCTGGCTGTGATCACATGTAGCTTCGAACCGGGTATTTCAGTCCAATTCACGGGAACCTGATACGAGGGATTTTACAGCAATATCTAGGAAGGCGGTACCTCGACAATGCGGAGCCTCATGAAGCGCGCTAGAAGCACGATCTCGATGTCGAAGGCCCATCTGGATAGAAAACCACCAATAACAGCTCAGAGGGTGACGAGGAGTTCACCGATTGAGATGAAGGCTGCTGAATATATCCCGAGCGGCATCTCTCGTGAAGAGCTTGAAACCACATTGGGTATCTCTTATGGATGTACCTAGATATGTGAGTATGGAAGAATAGACCAACATGCCCTAATCTTACCAACCATAAGCCATACAATCAAGTGAAAACCTGCCATAAGAACCTGAATATCATATTACTACTGCCAAAGAGAGTCCAGTCGGGGCAGACGACCATGTTGCTGCTGTGTAACAGGATTACTCACATTTCGAATAGGGCTTCGCTTCGCTACAGCATCAGTATCTCTAAGATGATCTCTGGAACCAAAAGTCTGAGAAGGACAGTACCATGACAGAGCCGGACTGGTAGTCGCCTCCAACCCCCACCGCAGCAATGCCTGAATCTTTATTCATGACTTCCTCAAGGCGAGCGAGATCGTCAATTCTAGTAGCGCCGTCTGCATCTACCATGAGTATACGTCGTCCACGAGAGCATCTCACTCCATAACGGACCTGTGTGACCCTCGTCACTAATAACTCCTGTATACCCCCATACCTACAGCCGCTCCCTTTCCCATGTTCCTAGCCAGCCCCACTACGCGGGTATCGATATTCGGAAAGACGTTATCACGTGCAAGACGGAGGGCCACAGCTTCCGTTGCATCCCGAGAGCCATCATTGACTATTATTATCTACATGGCCATTCCACGACAGGAACTGAACCTTAGGCCAACCTTACCTCAAAGGTCATCGAGGGTTCCTTATCGAGTCGTCTACGAAGGTACTAATAAGAAACATGCCCAAGAGCCATCCCTCAGTATAGTCCCTTACCGCTATCGTTTCCTTGTACATGAGAGGCAGCCTTTCAGCTTCATTATATGCTGGTACAACCTGATAGTGGTGATAGATACTTCCTCGTGGGGTGTAATACTACCAAGCTTAGGTCTACCGACGCCGCTGTATAAATTTGGTTGATGGCATTCTGGGGACTGCTGCCAGACCAAGATATCCGAGCGACCCTGAGATAGTCCGATCCTGAGATGTGATAAAAGAGTGGTATGGATTATTACGGTGATTGAACCCCTTCGAGCGCCGCGGCCTCCTTCCTCCACACGATATACGGATAGAATAGGAGCACTAAGGCAACGACCACACCTGCTACCAAAAGCACCTCTGGGGCCAGGAAGGCATCTACTACTGGCAGCATGGAAAACAATACTGAGCAAACAACACCCAAGGGAAGCATGGCAGCTCTAACCCAATACGACTCAAGCACCGAATAGTCACACACACTAGTTGACTGCGGCTTGAGGTCCAGCACTCTGCCCTTGTTGCATAGCTGTGAACTTCTGCTGGAGTTCCTCCAGCTGAAACGAGAGTGGGGAAAGGTTGTTCTCCTCTAGCACGTCTTACCTCATCGGACTTCTTCTGTAGTTTCTCTTCGAGCTCCTTGACAGTCTCGTTACTCTTATCCCTGAGTAACCTTACCTGCACTATGGAGCTACTGTAAGGATATTACAAATCAGAGGTGATGAACTCCAAACGTTTCTCGACGTTGGACACGGCTTCATCCCTATCCTGTCGTACCTAGAACAGCATCCTAGCCAACAACGGCATCATCAAGAGCCCCTACCATTATTGGGCCGACGAGCTTCCATATCACACCATCGTCTTCAAGGATATCGAACTCCTGAACGATAACAATGCATGCCCACTATCACGGCCATACCTTGCCGCGCTACGGCCATGCCACTACCTTCTTGACTTGCTCATTCTCGCTCTTCTGTGCCGTGAGTGTGCGCACTTTACCATACAGCTTCTGCAAGCCTAAACCCAATACTCACAATAGTCAGTATAACCTCGAAGACCCTGTATTACGATCCTGCACGTCCTGTATCTCCGTGACCGTATTCTGGTACTGATTCTGTAACGGAGTTGAATGAGCTGCTGACATGATAGTAAGTAGACAAAGCAGAACTGAAAATGATCACACAGATACTCCCACGTGGATGATAGAATCTTGCGAACTTCGTCGTGACGCCACTCGAACACAACTACTGGTAAATCATAAAAAACTTCTACCATCTCTACAAAAAATAGGAAAACTAGGAGCTCTGATGGATCCAACCATGTAAATAGGTAATGGCCGAATCATTGAGAAGGTGACACCACCCATTTCCAACAAGAATGCTGCTACTTGAAGGCCGATAGCCCTGTGACCGCACGTCCAAGAATTAAGGCATGAATGTCATGTGTCCCCTCGTATGTGTTCACAGCTTCCAAGTTCATCACGTGCCTTATGATACCGTACCTTACACCGCACAGCAAAGGATTCTCGATTATACCTCAACCGCCCGTTTGGTACTCATCAACGATCCCATTGCCACCCAGCATGTCCCGAGCTTCCCGGGCGATCGCGAGAGCCTTCCCGCAGTTATTTCGCTTACACATCGATATGACGTTACTATGCAACTAACAGAGCAGCGCAGTGGCCTCTTGTACCGCTGTCCAAAGCGTACCTTATACTCGTCTTTAAGCTGAGTGGCTCGATGGGCCATAAGAGTCATAGAATGGATCTCGGTCAGCTGGTCAGCCAACTTCTTCTGTATCAGCTAAGACAGAATAACTTGCCACCACTGATGATACAATACACGAAGATTTCAGTACTGAGAAGACTGAAGGCCCATGAGGGGGAGGGTGAATCGAGATAGGTGATATCGAGTAAAGCATTTGAGTATGACCTGGTTAGCTGCCAATGGTCGGCCGAATTGTTTCCTATCCATCGTATATCCTCTAGCAGTTTCCATACAGTACTCGGCAGCTCCAATAACTCCCCAGGCAATCCCTAACACACTGCGCTGCGCCCAAGTGAAATGCACCATACTACCGAGACGGGCTGAGTTGAGGCAAGCAAAGGGACCTTTCATCCCCACTACACCGGGTAGGAGGGACTCCTCTGGTACGAATACATCGTCCATTAGAATCATGCCTACATCTATAACTAGGCCGAGTCCTCGTGCTGATACAAACTACCGGTAGGAGACGCTCGTAAGGAGAACTTTCCGAGGATCTTAGGGCAGGACACCCCCTTCCATTCGGTCTCAACCAAGAAACCTCTAACCTGTATAATGCCAGCATCACCGCTATGATGCCTTGATGTAGCCTACCTGGCCGTCAGTGTCACACTTAGCCCAGACTACACAGACGTCAGCTATGGGAGAATTGGTGATCCAGTTTTTGGACCCATGAAGCTTCCAACCACCGTCGACCTTCTTGGCAGTAGTCTCCATCCCACTGGGGTCCGACCCATGATTGGGCTCAGTGAGGCCAAAGCAACCGATCTTGGTCCCTACATCGGCGCCTTGTATATGATGCCATATGAAGTGATTTACCTTTGGCTAGCTCTGGTAGCCATCGGGATTTCTGTTCCTCACTGCCGAATATGTTTATGGGGTGCATTACTAAACTGGACTGCACCGAGAACGCCGAGCGGAAGGCTGAGTCCACTCTCTCGACCTCTCGAGCTATGAGGCCGTACGCCACAGAGCTGGCACCTGGGACAGAGAACTCGGGCCTATACCCCGACGAGTAGACCCTACGCTACCGGCACAGCCGTAACCCTCTATGAAGGGCCCTAGCAAACCGTTCTTCCCGAACTCCAGGAAGACTTCCTTATTGAAGGTCTCATTGCGGAAGCCGTCGAGCACGGTCGGCATTAGGACGGCATCAGCAAAAGCGCGGGCGGAGTCCCTGACGGTGATGGTAGAATGAGGGCCTCCTCCTCGTGATGGTCCTACCGAATGAGCCTCTCCTCCTCAGTGAGCATATCCTCCAACATGAACATGTCCCTCCAATGTGTGTCATGGTCCCACCTATTACCACCTCAGTTGATTTCAAAGGAGCATGTCTATGGTAGTGTCTCACTTGAATGGATCCCCGCCTTGCTTGACTTTGGCTGCCGCAGCGGCTGTACAGAAGCCTCTAGAAAGAGCCCGGCCTTGAGAGACTACGTGTGTTAGCATAAGACCCGGAAGAGGAAATGGCTGGAAATGGCGTGAGATCGCGGAGTAGCCGATCAAGTGCAATGACAGAGGCCATACTATTATACACTATCCATACAGGGCATCGATCATGGCCGTTTCCATTCTACTGCGGATTTTTTCGCGCAGGCGGCACGAAATCTTCTTTCGCCAGCACAAAATTTGCAGCGACAGAGGAAAAAATTTGGGCCCCTCAGAGTATATTTTGTGCCGTAGACGGGGAGAAAGGATGACAGCCCAATGAGCAAACGATTAAATGTGGAAAATAAATCCCGGTATTGGTGCGTTTTTACACGCGCGAAAACAGTCTTAGACTCCAGGTACAAGTCCCAGTGACTTGTGTTACTCATGGGCGCGAGTCCTGTCGTCACTTCATCTCCGTAGTTAACTGTGATTCGTAGTGTAGTCTGAGAACGATCTCCCCACTCAGTTCCTCGTGGTAGCTCTCCACAATGTCAGCGGCATCCGAGGAGCAGATCCGTCCGGGATGCTCGATACACGATGTACAGTTCATGTAGTATATGGGGTAGGGGGTTTAGGGAGGCCTAAGTGTGGTATGCTGAGAGAAGCGATGCATATTAGACTGAGGATAGCCGGCAAGGGGCTGCCGAGGCTGTACCGGGTTCGTCGCGGCAGGTACATGTCCCCGAAGGAGATTCAGGATATATCTGTTAAGGAAATCACAGAGGTTGCCGCTTTCGGCAATCTGGCGGGTGCCCCCTTGCCCGACGGTCTGTAATACCAGCGAGGAATCTCCGGGTTGTTCGGGTAACGCAACTATTTAGATACGACCCCGCGCTGGGACCCCTTCATATTGGTGATCTGTGCAAAACTTGTGGCCTGGGGGTAGCCACCACTGCCTTGCGGGACCCTCAGCCCTACCTCTCTGTTCTCAGGTCCACGACTGTCCTGGTCATTTAGGTCACATTAAGCTCGCTACTGATGTGTACAATCCGTTCCTCATACGAACATTGTAATACGCGCACATGCCTCCCCTAGGCCCTCCGCTCCACCATCGGTGTTGTCTAGGTACAATGTGTTGCGTAGAATGTGCACTTCTTGCAATCACTTCCGTGTCCGCAAGGCTGTAACTCAGAGGTGAGAGCGCTAGTGTCACCGTTCAGCCGCTTATATGGTCTCGACAGATACTGCGATCGATTCAAGCTCATCCTTGCTGGTCTTGAACCCGAGTCTCATGATGTTGTCATGGAGCCTTGCGACGAGAAAACAAAGTAAAGTGTGGTAGACTCGTGTTTGATCATAAGTTCCCTTAGATCGGCGATGGAGAGGGATATGACCTCAGATCCCAATGCGGACAGCCGAGAGGCATTTGTTGAGCATGCTAGTAGGGCAGTACTTGAGGAGCCTGCCAGTCCGAGGTTCATGCTGTAGGTTATGAGGATGGCTCATCATCTTACGTACCATACATTATGGGCCACGGTGAGGAACAGAACAGGGTCAAAGCTTTGGTCAAACAGCTGGGCCTAGCCCACAATGAGGTTAATGATAACCTCGAAAAACTAGTTGCGAAGAACACTAGCTGGGGCATAAGTGAGATATGCGATCCTCTGTATACGTTGGGAGCTCGGCTTGTTGCCTTCTCAGGCAGCTCAGGTGAGATACAAGCCTGGAACGACCTGGTGGCGGAGTTCGAGAATGAGGTCTCTGTTGCAGTATGCCCCAACTGCAAGGCTAAGTCGGAGCTTTTCCGTAAACTAACCGTAACAATGGTGGCGGCTGGTCGATTTTGAGCCTTCAGGCGTTGATGGATACAATAAGATCTTCCGGAAGCTTCGAGGCAAGGCCGCTGAGAAGTTCGTCACTCCAACCTACGTAGGCTTCCACTCAGCTGTAGTGTGTGGTTGAACTCGAGTGTAGGTACGCAACCTCCTCCACAAGCTGTGGCGTGAGGAGAGGCAGGTCCTCGAGTTCTTGTTCCCGGCCTCGGTCGGTCGTGGAGAGGATATCTTCTTCATGCAGAATATTGTGGTACCGCCTAATAAGCTCAGACCTCTACGTTTTGGTGGTGACAGTGATGACAATCAAGGATTCTTACCGGCCTCCACGGTCTGTTTGAAGAACATCCTAGAGTCGAATCTCCTGCTCAGACAGCTGCTTGAGACGGATCAAGAGGCTTTGGAGAACCCAAATGAGAGGGAGAAGGGTAAGTTTGGGTATGTGGTCAATTTGTGATGCGTTGTGCTATACTCAGCTGGTGATGCCTTGCCGAACCTTATTTCGGATGAGGATGAGACTATGAAGCCTGTTGACAACACTCCTCAGAGAGGGCCTATGACTACTCTTGGAACTGCACTCATTGACTTGCAGAATAACGTAAATAACTATCTAGATTCTGCTAAGAGCGGCAAGGCCCAGAACAAGGTCGTGGCATTTGGTGTACGACAGCTTCTTGAGAGGAAGCAGGGTCTATTCAGAATGAAGATGATGGGCAAGCGTGTTAACTACGCTGCTCGTAGTGTTATCAGTCCGGATGTCTCTCTGGAGACTAACCAGATTGGTCTCCCCATGTTCGCGGCTCTACAGTTGACTGTGCCCGAGCCGGTCAACTCCTTTAACGTAGACTACCTGCGGGCGTTGGTGGAGAATGGTCCCGATAAGTACCCAGGCGCCGCTGCTGTAGTGTTCCCGGATGGCAAGCTGGTGTCACTGAAGGGTCGACAACCTCATCAAAGGAAGGCCATTGCTAGGAGTCTATATCAGAGTACCAACCCAGATAAGAAGCCTAGAGTGGTGCTCAGGCATGTGAGGGATGGTGATCCTCTGCTGGTGAATCGTCAGCCTACCTTGCATAAGCCAGGCATTATGGCTTTGTTCGTAAAGGTAGTGGGGACTGGTCCTTTGAGGTAGTTTGAAAGCTCATGTCAGGTGCTCAGTAAGGAGAAGACTATCCGAATGCATTACTCCAACTGTAACACATTCAATGCCGATTTCGATGGTGATGAGATCAACTTGCATTGTCCTCAAGACTCTAATGCCAGAGCTGAAGCCATCTATATAGCCTCTGCCGATCACCAGTATCTGGGGCCTACCTCTGGCAAGCCCCTTCGTGGTCTTATCCAGGATCATGTTGTCTCTGGTGTGTTCCTCACTGCAAGGGATCACTTCATGAGGAAAACTGAAGTTCAGAACCTCATCTACACTGCCATGCGAGCCGCTATAGAAGGCGATACCTCGGGTATTGGTAGTGTTAAATCTAGAGGGCAGGTGACCAAGCTTACTACCCCAGCTGGGGTGCCCAAGGACTTTAGAATTGTCATGGAGCCTCCAGTCATCGTAAAGCCACAGACATTGTGGACAGGAAAGCAGGTCATCACCATCTTCCTCAAGAGTCTTATCAAGTTCGCTACTCACAGTACGGATAAAGCCATCGTCAATGGCTTTAATCACCATGCTAAGGCCAAGACCCCTGGCGATCTCTGGGGTGGTGTCAGTGATGGTAACAAGGAGGAGCAGATGGTCACTATCAGAGATACTGAGCTCATAGAGGGTGTCCTGGATAAGGCTTCCTTTGGTGCTACGGCTAATGGTCTTACACATCTCTTCTATGAGCTGTGTGGCCCTAAGGCTGCTGGACTACTACTCACTGGTAAGTTGTTGGTAGTCTTGTTGCTTTAGGAGGGAGTATGTACTGTTGCTCAGGTATGGGTAGGATGCTCACCCTCTACCTCCAGTACCATGGCTTCACTTGTGCTATGAGGGATCTTCTTATCACTCCTGAGGGTGACGAGGCAAGGCTGCAGATGTTGAGGAAGGCTAGGGAAGACTCCTGGAATAAGATCAGAGACTGGGTGAATGAGAATAGCCCGGAGGAGGCTAACGTCAAGACTCTACATAAACTCCAGAAGGAGATAGGTACTTGGTGAAATATTCGATAGGTTGAGAGCGGAGTGGTATGAACGATCAGGCAAGTTGTATGCAGCGGACCCTAAGGTTCAACACCCCATGTTCGAAGAGTTGGAGGAAACGATGCTGTCCGCTAACAGGGATTACTGGGGAAGTAGCCAGGCGCTGATGCACTCACTGTGGGGATGAGATATCCTCGTTTTCAGAACTCATTGACATCCTATTCCCTAAGGGCCAGGTGTCTCCATTCCCGGATAACTGCTTCTCGGCTATGGTCAGCACAGGTACCGTCACCTCATAACATACTTACTCATATGGATGCTGTGTAGGTGCAAAGGGTTCGAAGGTGAATCACTCAATGATTGACGCTATGTTGGGCCAGCAGGAACTGGAGGGACATCGTGCTCCTCGTATGAGGAATCAGCGATTCCTTCCCAGTTTTGCCCAGTATGATATCGGCCCGAGAGCTGGTGGTTACATTACCGACAGGTGAGCATCTATAATGCGGGTCTTACTGTCTTGGAATCTGCGCTTTAGATTCCTCACTGGATATCGGCCACAAGAGTTCTTCTACCATTGTATGGCTGGTAGAGAGGGCCTTGTTGATACTGCTGTGAAGACAGCAAGGTGAGCAGCCTGGGAGTTCTTCTCCTTCTTATCCAATGCCTTGGTGTATAGATCTGGATACTTGCAGAGATGTTTGGTGAAGAACTTGGAGGGTATTACTATCAACTATGACTATACTGTTCGGGATACTGATTCATCGATCGTCGAGTTCCTTTATGGTGAGGATGGTATGGATGTGACCAAGGTCAGCCATTTGGAACAGTAAGGCCACTCACTGACTTAGCAATACTTCTATTATATTCGCATGATAAGGTTCGATGTGTTGGATGAGAACTCTGCCTTCATGGCCAAGAGTGCTGCTGTCGCTAAGGAGGAGGCTAAGATGGAGAGCAACTTGCCGGCCCTTTATCGGAAGTGGGCGGAGAAGCCTCAGAGTGGCCGAAGGACCAAGGACCTCGTGAAGGAGGTGAGGGAATCTATACGTGTATGATGGGCGGATGGTGGCAATTAGGTTAATGCTAGCGATAAGCTGCGAGACGAGGAGAAGGAGCACATCGCGTTTGTGGTGAAGGATACTCATACGAACGGAGGCAAGGCTCCTCCTATGAACAGCATGCTACCCCCATGGAGGTATTACTCTTCGACTCTTATGACGAGAGCCTTTGCAACTAAGCGCTAGTTCTGAAGTAGTATGTTGTCCTTCTCAAGGTTCACTGGTGCTATGTCCGAGCGAGAGGAGAATGCATTGACGGAGTATCTCTCCCATAGACCGGAGGAATTGGAGAAGAAGATGCCGACTGAGGAGTTCCGTGATGTTATCATGCATAAATACGCTAGGTGGGTTGAGCAGTGATCTCTCCTGCTCCATTATTGACCTCTTCTCAGGACCCTCGCGGATCCCGGTGAGGCTGTTGGTACCTTGGCTGCTCAGGTGAGGCTGAGATTTGTTGAGCTGTTGAGCGACGATGTGAAGTGGTATTCCTTTGTCAGGGTATGGGAGAGCCCTCTACCCAGATGACCCTGAATACCTTCCATCTTGCTGGTCATGGTGGTGTTAACGTCACACTAGGTATCCCTCGACTGAGGGAGATTGTACAGGTAAGGTATCTCGTCGCGCTGCGGATCACATAGAGTATTGTGCTATTCTCAGACCGCATCTCGCCACCTGGAAACCCCTGCTATGGAATTCCCTGTGCTCGGGGGAGTTAAGGTTGCTGAGGAGCTCAAGGTAATGATCAAGGGAGTGGCGCTATGGTGTGTCTCGAATCGTCACTGTGTTCAGGGTAAGATGACACGAGTGTCTCTGAAGGACGTGGTTGTGGCGACTCACGTGTTGGAGTCGGTAACTGCGGCCCAGCCTAGTGGAGAGACCATGCGAACCTACGAGCTTGTGGTAAGTACTCCATGCACTGCCATCACGATGCTTGATGAGCTTCCCTCGGGCAGGTTGAACTGGTTGACCCCGTTATGATCCAGAAAGCATATCCTAGTTTGTCACAGACAGCCATTGCTCACTTCCTGGACCATGACTTCCGAGATAAGCTCAACTCAAATCTCAAGAAGTTCATCAAGATATCTGAGAGCACCTCTACTGTGAGGCGTTTCTCTGTGGTCCTCCGTGGATCGACATGGTTCTCTTCAGATCACATCACGTAAGGCCCAGCAAGAGGAGGGAGCAGCTGATGTGTTCAATGAGATTCCCGAGGATGAGAATAATGCTGAGCAGAAGGATCAAGGCGACGAAAGCCAGAACGTCACTCGTACACTAGCCCAGCGTGCTCGAGCTACCGATGAGGAGAGGGAGGCCGAGCTTGATAGGATGGAGGCTGCTAGCGGTAGGCGTGCAGGGGATGCTCTCTGTATGTATATTGATTGTGGGTGTAGATGCCGATGATGCTGATGAAGGACAGTATGATGACCTTGTTGATGACGCAGCAGCAGGTGATGATGATAAGAAGGATGATGTAGTAGAGGAGTGGTATGGTGTGCTGTGAGTGGCTTTGTCTCAGGATGAGGCCGAGGAGGACAACGAGACCCCCGTAGCTGAGGAGGGCACTCAAGGGTAAAAAGTCGTGTTGTGGTAGTGGTGCTGTTGCTGTGAGCGTTGGTATCTTCAGACCTGCACTTGGAGGGCAGACTACTGCTGAGGAGTATCAGGTCTCCAAGACTAAGAACTCTACTGAAGTCATCTTCAACAAGTCTGGACGTCTATACGGCCCGAAGTAAGTTTCTCGCTTCTGTTATACAGTGAGTGCATCGATGATTATCCTATGTCGTCGTTCAGGTTTGTTCTCCGTTCCCGACCACTTGAGCTCTCCCAGGGCATCTCTCGGAAGATTCTTATCCTGGAGGCTGTCGCAGATCTTTGCTCTGATCTATACATCCAGCAGACCCCTGGCATCACCAGCGTCCATGTGGTGGAGCCCCGTCCTGGTCAGTCAGATAAGGTCACGATTGAGACTGAAGGTGAGCCAACCTCCCTTTATGGTTAGTAGCTACTTATAACCATCCTCGTAGGTGTTAACCTCGATATTGCATGGGGCCTTGATGGCATCGACCATGACCGCATAGTCACCAATGATATCGGTCTTATCTTGGATCGGTATGGTGTAGAGGTAGCAGTGTTCAGGCAATTATGGTATGGAAAATGGTTGCTCCCGTTGTAGGCAGCACGTGCGGCTATAGTTCAAGAGGTGCTCCGAGTGTTCGGTCACTATGGTATCGGTGTCGACCCCAGGCATTTGATGCTCATCTCTGACTACATGACTCATCATGGAGGGTAGTGACAGTATTGAGCTGAGCTTATTAGCAGTAATGTTCCTCCCTTCCAGGTTCCGTCCCTTCAGCCGTAGAGGTATGGAGGCTCACGCATCCCCATGGCTGCAGATGACATTCGAGACTAGTGTTAACTTCCTCACTAAGGTAGGGAAGGCTCCACACATAGCAGGCCATGCGTGAGCTGTCATCATGCTCAGGCCTGTAACAATGCGCAGTATGATACCTTAAAGAGTCCAGCTGGGTCCATCATCGTCGGCAAGCAGGCCAGTGTTGGTACGTGGTGAATGGGTAACCGCCACTTCTACCATTTATTCGTCCATAGGTACTGGATGCTTCGATCTACGTATGGAGATGCCCAAGAGTGTACGGGGGCTTGCTAAGGATGAGCTGACTACTCAGGTCAAGAAGCCGAAGAAGGAATTCGTAGGGAGGCTAGCTATGGTATGGATCACCGCATGCTGTGTTCGATCAGGTCTTCGCGTGATATATATAGGAGGTCGGCCAGTGGTGTTGTGAAGGTCGTTAACGTATTTACCAAGAGAGCTCCGATTATGCTCGCTACTTCACGCTATATAGGTTTCTATTACTGCCATAATCATTTGTGTAGAGCTCAGTCGCTAAGTGGTGTGTAGGGAATGGGTATCATAGATGGATAAGGACAGCACTTGACAGAGGGGCTATCATTTCAGAAATGTCAGGGGTCCCACCTCAACAACAGGAACCTCCACATGGTATGCCCACACTACCCTTCATGGGTATGCCGCAAGGGTCTAGTGGGAAGGTACTATAGGCCTCCTTCTCGGCTGGTGTATCTCATCCCACATATGCCGTGGTGGGTGGAAGTTGCTATAATTTTAGAGTCCTGCCCCGCCCCCAGGGGGTCTTCCCATGCCCCCAATGGGTAGTATGCCAGGAGGGATGATGCCGCCCCCACCAGCAGGTATAGTATATACCCTCTCTCACCCACCGATCTACGCTTTCTAGGACTTCCTAGCTTCCCTGGAGGGCCTGGGGGTATGCTACCTATGCCCCCACCAGGCGGGGCATTCGGCAACATGCCTCCACCTCCTGGATTCGCGAATATGATGCCCATGCCCGGTGGTTTTGCACCTCCCCAGAGTGGGCAGCAGGGGCAGAATATGGCTGGCTCAGCCTCCCCCGAGATGGCCAAGATACCTCTGGCTGAGCGGCTAGCTCACGTAGTATCGTGGTATATTGGTTGAGCTCAATCGGGCTGCATGATAGGATCCCCATGAGAGGCCTCCAGACGACTTCCCTCCCAACGAGACCCTCTATATCAACAACCTCAATGATCGAGTGAAACCTGAAGAGCTTAAGAAATCGATCCTCGAGGTCCGGAGTGGTTGCCTAATCCTCTCTCTAAGTATTCGTCTTAGTTATGTAAATCCTGTGGTACCGTCATCGACTGTATTGCGATGAGATCACTCCGACGGAGGGGTCAGGTGAGGACGGGGGTTCGGTCGGAGTCTTCATAGCAACAATGCCCAGTAAGCCGTCGGATGTATGGTCGTATTGCCTCTAGGTATTTGTCGTTTTCTCGTCGAAAGAGGAGTCCTCGTCTGCGATGAAGAAGCTGCAAGGCCACAGTCTGTAGGGCCGCAAGCTGCTGAGGCCCTTGGAGTACATTGCTTACGTTAGGTACAGCAAGAACATGCGGGTGTCATACGCTAAGACTAAATCAGACGCGATTGCTAAGAAGGAAGGTACTACACGGCATAACACACCTTGTGATGATATCCGAACATGCTTATGTGGTTGTATGAAGGCACCTACGTCCGTCGGGATAAGGAGAAGTTGAAGGAGATGAGAGAGGCAGCACAGGCTAAGCTGCAACCCGATGCAGCCGCACAAGCGTAATGTCCACCGTCAAGGCTCTTCGTATTCAAGGGAGCTTTCTTAGGGCAGCTGCAGCGGCAGCGGCAGCAGCAGCGGCCAAGGCAGCAGTACCTGGAGGGGCTATGCCGGTGGGTCTGAGGGCGTTACCTGTCTATGCCTAGGCATCCTTTCTAGGCTGGTATGCAGCCGATGGTGCCCAACTTTGCAGGTGTGCCCGCTGGGGGCTTCCAAGGTAGGGGGAATACTGACTAGTCTCTTTCTGTACTACATATCCCTCCAGGCATGCCCTTCAATATTGGACAGCAACAACAACAACAACCTGTTCAACAGAAGGTGAGTTAACCAGCGGACGAGGCCGACGTTGGGGATGCCTTTCATCCAGAAACTAACTACTGCAGAGGACTTCTTCAACACCTCAGTATCAGCGCCTAAGGTCGTACAGCACTCTAACGTTCCTAATAAGTGAGGGCAGGCTATTGGCAAGTCGGCTCACATCTCCTGGTAGGACTCTTTTCGTGGAGAATCTACCCCCGAGGTGCACTCCTGAGAAGCTTACAGCAGTGTTCAAGTCCTATCCAGGCTTCGAGGGCACACGTGTGATAGCAGAACGACAGGTAGGAGTAATCTCACGCAGCTGGTGCGTAGCCGTCAGGGCTGCATCTATTGTTATTGTAGGTCGGGTTCATAGATTTCAGTAGCGAGTTCCAGGCCACTATGGCTAAGAATGCTAGAGGCGACTATACTATGGAGGGGCAGTTGGTGAAGATATCCTACGCTCGGAAGTGATCATCATCATACAGCTGATGTCGGGTTAATATAACTTTGATGATGACGTTCTGGGGATCAACTTGTCGTGGAGTTGTGTTGAGGGTAACAAGAGGGTCTTGGGCTTCCCATCCAGGGAGAGTAGGGGTGCGGGTTGGGACTCGGTGGCTGCAATGACATTGTGTCCCCATCGGCGGTGCACACTGAAGGCTCTACCAAAGCCTCCTGTGAGTCCCAGTCTTCCTGTCTTGTCGTTAATGGCCATGGCCTGGGAGGACTTTGCCGTTGAACCTGGTAGGGTGCTGGCACAGAGTTAATACGCGTTAGTACTCCCTGCTACTGTTGCGTCCGATAGCTGGGGAAATCTATCGTTGGCAGCCCTTTCGTGCTACCGTACCATAGTTAAAATGAACCTCCGGCTTGCCCGACATTTTCTCGACTACCCATGCACATTTTACATGCTGTCTTTCACCATATCCACCATTCTATCATCAGTAATATCCGTGGTCGGTCCCAAGGTGGGAATGCTGTCCTCCTCAGGTGTTTTGTTTCGTACCGCCTGTTGCACGTTGGTTCGGCCCGGACATTGCGGCCTTAGCCCTTATGACCGTGTTCCTGGCAGCTGGGGATTGCTTGTGTGGTGCATGGAGGAACTCGATGAAAGTAACATGAGACTGTACCTCCCCAATGCTGCGTGTTCATAACCTCTTCAATGTTGTAGGTCATCAATGCCTCTATTATATCACTCTTTTTCGCTGCTATATGGACACTAGCAATCAGAGCAGTGTTCGATGCCGTCTCGGCTGAGTACGACGTTGGTTGCCCCTCGAACTGAGCAGTCGCTATTCCCATTACGTAGATATAACTCTTACATAGCAGCTGTCTGGGCCCTACCCCTCATTGCCCTGCATGCCTTTGGTTATACTGTTGAGCCTGTACGTCACGCCCTGCGGCTATCGTTACGAGGCATCATCCCTCGCTGGTCCTCAGATAAATGAAGTGTACAGTGTCCCATTGGGGGCACTTATGGTCTGCACTGTGCCAATGTGAGTGAGTGATTCCTGAGAAAGCGGACTGCCTACTAGCAGATACGGCATGATGGATTCCATCTACTCCGAGATCGGTCTCTGTATGCTGGCGTGTATAGCAGCCTCCGTGGTCACCTTCGGTGTCACGTGTATGTTGTCGTCAGTACGCTAATTGTTAGGAGCATTAGCAAATCATCGTGTAAGCAGGTACGGTGTAGAAGCAGTAGACTGTGTGGATCCAGCAAGATGTCTCTGGCGGAGGCCGATTCGGCATTGCTCACTTACTTTCACACCCTCTGCAACACCTTGATGTCGCCCTCTGAAGTCCAGGAGGTGGGTTCGGTCCCTGGATGCGGCTACTCATTGCTACTTCCTAGGACTACGGTCTAACTCGAGCAGCCTCAGCAGTATGCCAGAAGACTCTATATCAGGCCTGGAAACAGGCTGATGATGAGGGAGCTCGGCGGGTATCACTAACACTTTTTCCTCGATAAAAAGTACAGCAATTCAGGTGGCCCATCTACAGGCGGCTTGCTTTGGTAATTTGGTCACCCTCGCTCAAACGGTAGGGAAGTCGTTCTACCCGATTCTCCGAATATAGATGGGCAGCGTAACGTCTTTTACGGTTTATGTGACGGCGTGCGTAACGTAGGCAGTTTTCGGTTACGGAAAGGCCTTACGACTTTACGGTTGATGCTGAACTGTTTTTTTGGAATTGTGGCGGAAAGATTCGCTGTAGTGCACTCGACGATAGCTCAAATAGTTGTTAACCTCATTTCTTGTGGCTCGAATTTCAACCGAGCCGCTGAGAGAGTAACATTTGCTGTCGCATTTGCCACTCGTCTCCTTTGCAAATTCCATCCGTCTTACTCCCAGGCTGGTTCGGAACTGCCAAGCCGGCCTATCTACGGATTCGCATTCACATGAAATAGATTTAGGCGATTTGAATTATCAATCCTAGTTTTGTCCTCTGCATCTCCGTAAGCCCCGTTACGGCGCCGTAATTTTACGGTACGGGGCTTGAAACGTAACCGTAAAAGTGAACCGTAACGGCCCGTAACGTAATTCTGCCCATCTATACCTCCGAAGAAGGTCTTCTAGGTGCACCCACCCCGTAGTGGGAAGCCTCTGTCGTTCCCAGCATCCTGTGGTGGGCTGGTCACTACTTCGTTCATGCTCAAGTTCACTAGTGTCGTCGCTACTCTCTCCGAAAGTAAGCATCTAGTCGTGGAGTATGCCTCTTGCATCCTGCCGGTAGATTCGTTGCCAAGTGAGGAGTTGTTGACTGATCTCATACAGTCTAGTATGAGTGCTCACATCACGCAGGGGCATAAGAGCTCAGCTGCTGATGCCTTCGCACTGCAGGCTGCTGTCATCGAGACGGCGAGATTCGTAGGAAGTATTCCGATGCCCCTCGTGGGTTGTTGAGCCCTTGATAGGTACGAGCAATGAGACGTGTACGCATGGCCACAACCCAGTATGTTGCCTCGACTATGGGCTCCTTCAAAGTGATGACGAAGATGCTAGCAAAGTAATGCTCTCTCTCGAGTGCTTGCTGCTGCATGTCGATCATCACAGGAATACCGCATTTAAATGGCAGGGAGTGGTATCGCCTCGCCAATGGTTTACAGATCGTATTGAAGCGGAGAATGCCTTGTAGGGCGACGACAAGGACCTGAGGTTGTGGTGAGTAATATCATCCGGACAGATACTTCACAATGCGTACATCTATGATGATGCTGGTATCCACACTGGTGTATTCGGTATGGGAAGGGAGGGATGAAGCCGTTGATGCGTAAGTAGGCAAGAGAGGACGATTCCCCCGTTATTGCCGCTATTGTTGTTAGTTACGCTCTATGGGGGCTACTGCCCGGTCATATTATATTGCAGTTGCTGATCAAGGGCGGCGCGGTAGCATTGCCGATGCCCCTCCAACAGTTATCGTGTTACTTGTGGTCATCAGATCCGTGCAGTGTATTGCGTAGCGCCCCTCTTCGCATGGACCCTCCTGGGCAGCGCCCTTGGGCTAGCCTCTGCTGAGAGTAACCGAGGTAGCATCAGTGCCTACGCCACACAAATGGTATGCCCAAAGTATTGATGCATTGGCATTCCGCATCCCAGGTGCTGCTGGCTGCTATCGCTTCCTACCTACATCGTGGATCCCTTAAGAAGGTATCGGGACCGATACTAGCATATCAATCATGGCTCGTAGTGGCTGTAGCCAACTGGACGGATGACGAGGGTAAGCTTCTAGAGGAGTGCATGCTATGATGCTTACTCGAAGCCGGATGATTATCAGTCGTTTGATGTTCAACGCTTTGAACTTCTACGTTTCTCAACGTTCAATTCATTGGACACGGTCAAAGAAAGAACCATGCACTAGTTTGCGCACGCCCAAAAATTATGGGCATACGTACTCCTCCATAGCTAACGACGGTTGTTCGGTTGTGACCTCCACGTCAAAATGTTTCGTCGTTCCCCACTGTCACTGAACTTCCCAGAGGACTACTCTTGGGAGTAATCTATCGGACGCGACCGTCCGTTGTCTTGAGGGCGTTTTCCCTCTACCTGTGCTTCGTTCCTCGAGTACGACGGCTCGTACTTTGGAGGCTCTCTCGTTGACTGTTGGTCACGAGGTAGCTGGAGGGCTCTACGATGTGAGTTTCACTTCTTTGACGAGCCTCTCAGTTCTCCGATTGAGAACAGGGCGAGGTTTGCCTCTGCGATATTCGCCTCCGATCGAGCGTGTTTATCCAGTAGGGCTCTCCTCTCTTTACTCTCACACCTAAATGCCCGCCCCCACCCCCTTAGCATCCTGCTTTGGTTCTAACGCTGAGGAACTTGCCCCTCGCACTGCTCTTCTAGCTGCTCTCTCCCATATCGGTATCGACGATCCGTCAGCTTTGGTGAACTTTGCTAAAGAGAGTAGTGCTCTGCAACAAGTCGCCCAGACTGCGGCTATCCCCGAAGTCTCTTCGCTAGGGAAGGATAAACAATCTATCGCCCTTCTACATCTCAAATACGAGAGAATTCTTCGGTCGGCATTGACCGAAGCGAGTAAGCTCGTTTCTGCTGCCGGCGGAGTCGATACTACCAACTTCGCCTCTCTCTCGTCATCTCTATGGCAGGCTAACCCTTCGCCTGCTCTTTGCCCCTCTCCTACTCTCTTCGCCGACTTCACAATGACCCCGGCGCTACTGCGAATTGTACGTCACGACTACAGATTATTCGTCCAGAGCGTCACGTTCTAGAGAGGTTCGTCCCCGTAATTTGTCAGAGTTGTTATCCGTTACAATACCGTGGGCATTTGCGGTGCATACTCTGACCGAGACGGGATCGAGCTTAGCCCTTATAGAATACCCTCTCAAGCTGGTATCACTTGCTCGAGCTCTGAATGACTCAGCAGCTATCGACTTTGACATGAAGTTTCGACGCTCGTTGAGCTCGCGTGCTCGTCAATTGTCAGCATCGTCTGGACTATCTTACTCGGTTTGCTTGTTGAGATGTCTTTCTACGGATTTCGACTCCGCTCTCCTCGCGGAAATCCATGGGAGGTATGCTTCCCGCAGATCAACCCCATACCAACCAACAACATATCTGCGCCAGCGCTCTACAACTTCGGCTCCCTCATCTCAGCAATCTTACTGCCCATTCTCATATGAGGAATGCCCCTTCTTGAAGGATCGCATCTGTCCATTCACCCCAACTAAGCACCTCCGTTTAGGGTGGCACGCGGAAGGAAAAATAGAAAAATTATTTCCTTCGGAAGGAAATTTGAAGTTTGAAGGAAAAATGAAGGAAAAATACGGAAAAATACGGAAAAATAAATTTTTCCGCTTGGCCTGCCAGGTTTGGCAGGCCAGAGCGTCACTGTCTTATTCGATCAGGCTGCTAGCAGATGATTTGCGCTTACTAATCATGTTTCATAGCTTGATTAGATGTAACTGATTCAAAGCGTTACAAGATATGTGAGATATCCACACTGGAGGAGACCAGGGCGCTAAAGTTAAGCGGCTGAACAAGCGCGCTTTCCACTGGAAAGTTTCCAACGCTCGGTGATTAGAGCTGTCGTTGGACATTTCTTGATTGTCTGCATCTTTAATGTTCTTTAATGTCTGCATCCCTTCGTTACCATCACCACTTCTGCCTCTGTTTTATCGTGCCCATCATGTATGCCAGCAGCAACAGTCTTATTTTTTCTCGAATAAGGGGATTGTCGAAAACTTTTGTCAACGGCAGTCCTCGCGGCGGCCAGCATTGGAAATGTCTTATAGTCACCAATAAAACCTTCCAATTTCGATCACTTTCACAGGTTCGACCGCGCGTATCAGCAAGGAACGCAGATGGGAACACTGACGAGTTATGATGCGAAGCGAGGTGCAAAGCTCGGACTGTCCGTAACGGCAATTACTGATCCAGTCAGAGCCTCAGACTCTGAGCCTGCGGCCGGTTACAGAACCACTGCCTGCGTCAGGGTTACCTATCCGTGTGTTTTGGAGTATGCTACGTTAATACTTCACCGTGTTGTGCTTGTGGGAGTGCAGCATTTCCCGCTTGAATAAAATGATCATGGTGCGAACCTCGCACTGTGAAGTGCCACGCAATAACCGAAACCGCAACCTGGGCCTTCCAGTGAAAGTGCGAATCGAATTCTCGCTCGCCACAAAAATCTTTGATCATCCTGGCGAACAAGGTTTCCCTATACTCGGTCTAACCGAGACCACTAACACAGGCATATATCATAGACATCACCTGCCGTTTTTTGGCTTTTTTATGCCCATTTATGGCAGTTTCGGGAAATTTTTCTTTATTTTTCTTTATTTTTCCTATTTTTCCTATTTTTCCTATTTTTCCTGCCCGAAAGAATTTTCTAAATTTCCTTCATCTTTCCGAAGGAAATGGAAGGAAATAATTGGAAGGAAGTAATTCGTGCCACCCTACCTCCGTTATTCGGCTCAGAATGCTACTCTGCCGGGACGTACTCCCGGCCGAGCGAGTCTCCCATCCCGTCAGAACTCGCTAACCTCCCGCACTTCACGTCCAGGAGGTCTGAAAACTGAGTCTACCCACTAACTTCTCAGTGATCTCTTCCGGTCCGCCGTGCGGCTCTTGGTATACTTGCTGTCTTGACTTTGAAAGTTCAGTCTTCGCACCATGTTCACCTCTCCTCATGGTTACCTTCTCCTTCATCTCTAACCGCCCCCCTTTCGGGTTCTCGAGTTTTCACATGATGATCATGTTTGTCTTGGATACACAGGTCCTTTTCCCTGTAGGCTCACTTTCATGCCCCATAAACACAGTCATCTCCCTGGACGTACTTCCAGAACGCGGTCGTATAAACGTCAACGTCGCCGCTTAGCTCTCTTAACAACGACTACACTAACGAGTTCTACAGAAGCCCTACGGGACCTATGGTCCCGTGTTGATGAGACGCCTAGCCTTTCCTCTACACCACTATTCACCGACGGTTCTGCTGATTTTGGCAAGTGCTTCCCTCTCCCGGAGCACCTCATCGACCCATTCCAGCATGGCTTTACCGAACCCCTGCTAGCCTCTCTTGCTCATCTTCCAGCAGTGTCGTCTTTGGCATCCACACTCTCCTCTATCAGCGGACATCCCTCTTCGCAGCAGCAAGTTCTCTTGGAACAATCGGCCAAGGTTGCCGCTGACTCTGTACGCGACCACTTGGAAGATTTCTTTCATATTACCAAGGACCCCAACGACATTAGCGATCTTCATTCACGGCTGATCGATGCCTTATTGTTGTACTCTGATGATCCTGATCGGGTCTTTATCCACTCAGTCACTACTGAGGGTACTCCAGTCGGCCTCGATCCATCCTATCCTATTCCCTCGTCGAACGGACTCTTCCCTCCTTCATCTTCGGATAAATATCAAGGATGGGACGACAACGACGACATACCCTATGTGGGTGATAACCTAGTGGCCAATTACTCTTCGGTAGATCTGCAACTACCCTTGGTAGAGTCTATGTACAAGGTTGAACTAGACAAAGGTTGGATGGAACCTCTCCCTCCGGGTGACCCCTTCTGGCAGGTCAAAGTCGCTATTATAGCAAAAAAAAGAAGATGATGCAATGCCCCAACATCCGGAACGTCTTCCTGCTGAGCAGTTGTGCAAATTCTTCCGTTTAATAGAGGATTATCGACGGAATCATTTGAATGAGAATCTTCTCCTCGACGAGACGATTCGACTTCCAACCTATTCTCAGCTGATCTTTGCCCTTCGTCATATGAGTGCCTTATCTCAGTCCTCAAACATTCCCGTAGCATTAGCGAGCGCTGACATCGCTTCAGCTTTCCGTAATTGTGCAGTACGCGCCGAAGAGCGCAACTTTCTAGTTGTTGCTTTATCGCATGAGGATCTTCGCTCACAACCGTCGGAAGCTCGCTTATTTCGTCATTGTCGTATCCCCTTCGGTCTGGCTTCAAGCCCATATCTTTGGGTACGCCTATATTCTTCAATACATAGGCTGTCTCGATTTCTCTTTCGAGACCATGGTTTCGGGTTCTCGTACATTGACGATCTTCTATGGCTATTCCCTGCAAATGCGGTCCATCTATGCCTTGCACTGTTACTTAGTATTCAGTGCGCCGTAGGTCTACCCTTTTCATGGTCAAAACTATGTTTACATTCCAACTTTTCCTTCATCGGCTTCGATATATGCCCAATCTCTACATCGACAGGCACTCATTTTGTTGTCTCCGTTCCGGATACGAAGAAAAAGAAGATCTCTCAGGCTTTGACTTCATTTAGATCGTCTGGGGTGTTTAAGTTACAACCGTTAGAATCTCTCATCGGTCGCCTACTCTTCGTCACTCAACTTGACCCCAAATGTCGCCATTTCTTATCTCCTTTCTTTGCCGTCATGAAGATATTACGGTCAAGAGTAACCCGAAGGGGCCTGCCTATCCAACGCGTCAGACTTGGCCACGTCTCTTCGTCTGCTATTCACTTCTGGGAAACTTGGGTTTCAGAGAACTCCTCTCGCTCGATCCTCCCCCTACATCAACCCACTTTACCATACTCGTATGCATTGGTATCAGATGCGTCTATAATTGGTATTGGTGCCTTAGTTGTATCACGTTCTGGGACAAGAAACTATTACTGCTCCATAAATGTCGATGATATCATATCTCTTTGGCCTGCGCTCTCTCACTACTCTTCCCCCTCGGCAAACATGATCATCTACGAATTACTCGGTATTGCCTTAGCGATTTATTTGGCCCAGCTCACCAGTATCTGGTCACTCAAGCATAGTTATGTGAGTATCAGCGATAATGCCGGGGCCGTTCGCCTGCTCACGAAAGGGTTCTCCACCAAGGCAATCATCGGCGACCTGGTGGACATCATTATCAGTGCAACTGATAACCGCCTCCACTACATGGCTATCCCCGGAGCTCAAAACATCCTTGCTGATAATCTGTCGAGGGGAATTGCCCCCAGTGGACCTAGTTGGCATCAGTCGTTGATCAGTACTGCTGAGTTCCTTACCTGGTGTCACCCAGGGAGGAAACCTCCCACTACACTTCCCCTCTAACTTACAAACTTGTGCGGGTTTGTGTTTCTATATACAGCCATCGATCATCTCAACCAGCCCTCAGCTAGTTCTTATTATCATGCATGGAAACCTCTTCTCTGAATCCTGTTGGTGGCCCTTTACAACGCCTCAAAGAGTGGAAATCGTCTCAACCGGCCGAAGGATCCCTCGCTGAGCTCTCTCTCAACCGAGGGTTACTATCTTCTTCTCTTAAGAACTCAACCCGCAAGCAGTATGCCGTCCCTGTCAAATACTATCTTACGATAGCGTCCTTCCCCGCTACAGTCTCCCGCCTACAGGCCTTCATGAGAGCCTTGGCAGCTCTTGGTTACCCTAGTTCTACCATACGCAAATATGTCTCAGCTATTTCCTCGGAGAACGTTCTTCAAGGATTCCCAGCCTTGCTCCGTGAAGAACAAGCGGTGATCCGACGCTCCCTTCGCGGGATTGATCATATTGCAACCACAACCTCCCCTCCTCGTCAAGCCCCAAGGATTAGCGACGACGCAATCAAGGCTCTCATCGCACTTCCTACAACAGCCTCCTCGGAGAAATATGTTGTTCGTGGAGTGGCACTCACCGCAATCGCTTTGGTCTGTCGCCTCAGCGAAATTCTCCACCTTAGAGCCGACGATATATCCCCATCCTCGTCGTCCACCACTGCGTCTCTGGTCTATTCCATCTGTCTACGTGATACCAAGACTAAAGCCGTGGTCTTCAAAGAGTGTGCGTGCTCCTCGTCGACCGCCAGCAGTTGTCCGAGCCGCTTCTGTGTCCTGCATTTCCTTGTGCAGATGCAAGCACGAGTTCAGCTTCGCGGCCCTCTATTCCCAGCCCTATCTCAATCATCCTTCATGTCAAAGCTCAAGAAGTTGCTGATCCGCGAATACCCAGCACAAGCAGATAACTGGCGTGTTTCAACGTGGTCTTATCACTCCTTCCGGGTCACGGGCGCCTGCCGTTTGAAAGATTTGGGCTACCAGGACTCTGACATTCAATTTGCCGGGCACTGGGCTTCTGACAGTTGGCGTCGTTATATCTCCTCTCAACAGTCTTTATCTGCTAGAGACCAATCACATGTCATACTTTCATTATGAGTCCACATCAAACTTCGTATTCTTGAAGTCTCCAGATTATCCATCGGCGACTTTGCGCTCACACAACAGGCTGCACCCAACCTACAAATGAACTGGGGCAGGACAAAAAGAGTGTTCGCTCACTCCATCTTGTGGTGGGTGCTGGATCTGGGATGGACCACGCTCTCCGTTGAGCTCGTCCAACTCGCTTCCCCAGCCCCCCAAAACGCTGTGAGCAACTAAGCATGATCTGACTTTGATCAACGTTCAATTCATTGGACACGGTCAAAGAAAGAACCATGCACTAGTTTGCGCACGCCCAAAAATTATGGGCATACGTACTCCTCCATAGCTAACGACGGTTGTTCGGTTGTGACCTCCACGTCAAATGTTTCGTCGTCCCTCCCACCCTCCCAGATCACTTGTTGTTCAACAGACACACTGTCGTGTGTGTTGCGGGATGGACCACGCTCTCCGTTGAGCTCGTCCAACTCGCTTCCCAGCACCCACCACTGTTGAGCAACTAAGCATGATCTGACTTTGACCATGTATAAAGTGTTCCCAATATCAACTCAGGTCGAGATTCCTTCGCCATGTGGCACGTGGCACTGTACCGAATAGCCATAGTCTGCACGGGTGTATTCCTCGCGATGATCTTCGCGGTGAGTCCCCTCCTATCCCCCATCGGTTGAGGTTCTCGCTTAGATGTTGCCCCCACCTTTCCGGCTCCTTCCTGCTCTCGATGGTCCTCATAAGCACCTAGTGCAGACAGCCGTTGACGTCGCCGTCCGGTCAGTGGTTAGGGCCAGTCGTTGCCATGCTAGCAACGGAGTGAAGGCAGAGGGACAAAGTGCCTTAGCGTAGGGTTCCGGTACCTGCTCATCTTCGTATTGTTATAATAAGAGCACTATCGGCTCTGTAGCGTATCAACCCTAAGAGAATTCTCGGTTAGCAATACATGGGTTCCCATCGATAACATATCACAGTTCTGTGGAGCTGTCAGCTTTCTCGCGCGATATCTCCGATGCAGGTACTCCCGTAGCATGAGCCGTGCTCTTTCTGTGGCCACCGAAGAGGAGGAGGAGAAGCCACAGATAACAAATCACCCGACTCTCGTACTCCACCGCGATGGGGCCCTAGAGGGAGTAGATCCTAACTCACTTGACTTACTGGTGAGCTCTTCCGACGCTGTGCCTGTTAATTCTCAGCTCAGGTGCGTTTCCCGCCTGCAACTAAGCCTTTGCTACGTCAAAGCAAACTGCAAGATAATATTATGCGACGAGGCGGCCACTCGGCTAATGTCAATGATGTCTTGGTATTTGCAGGATCGACTCGACTGAGTTGTCCATCGCCTTCGTTTGCTTCTTAGGTGGATCTGTCATATGCTGCGTTGGCAGTGGCAGGACCGGCCAAGGACTGTCGGCTCGGCAGGGAGGGGGCCGCTGTGGCTGGTGACCTCATCGTGAGGATGGAAGAGCTACTGGGGGCGATTAAGATATCTGAGTAGGGCTGGTTACAGGGCATCATGGAACCCAGTTGCGGCAGGTCTAGCATTGATGTTACTACAGCGCAGCAGCTACACAGTCCCAGTTGGGTGAAGCAGGCTGTCATGAGGCTCAATGTAGAGCTTACTAAGACACGCACTATGTTGTGGGCTGAGACTGGGTGGAAAACCGACAAGGCGACGCACACCATTGGTAATAGGCAAGCATGTGGTGTGAACTCGTGCATATTATAGTTTTACAGATCCGGCCGAGAAGTTCCTGCTTACAGGTCTCCTGCAGATTGTCTCTCTGGCAACTCATCTCGTCCATTTCGGTGATTGTTGGATGCGTTTTGAGGAGGTTGTTGGTAGTACTAGAGTCGTACCTTGGTCCTCTCCCCGTATTCCTATAGCAGGGCTCGAGTCGGAAGGCGTTGTTGGCAACACCGTCACTAATCCCTTCATCAATCGTGGCCAATCATCGACTGAACTCGGTAAGCCTCGGCATACACTACGTTCCGACTCTTAGCTCGACGACAGGACGCATCATTTCAGTTGGAGTACCATCATCTCGCGAGCATCATCATCATCACCTCCCGCCCCTCGTCACCAGGTCGAAGTCGGCACACCAATTCGTGAAGAATAGTCATGAAAGCCTCTCCAGAGGGGCTCGTTGATTTTGTTGGCAATGGACCTATCTGTTGTTAGTCGCTACATTTACCATCCAAAAGAAGGGCACTGTAGCGATATTTTTTTACACTTTATCAGTCCAAGCCTGATAACGTTTTTATTTCAAGGGTGCATCTTATCTTTCTATCAACACACTATTGTGTTTGCAGTAGTACTCGGGGTAGAATATGCTGATAACTGAGTCGGCGGGGTACCGATTGGAGTGGGCATGGAGCCTGAAGGACGGGCTGCATTAATGTAGACGCTCAGTTGAGGATGCCAATACTCTCTCGTGGTCTCTGCAAATGCCGGGAGCCCTCACCTCGATGTATGAATGTCTCCCGACGGTGGGATACATCACAGTTCATGTGGCATAAGATTAAACAGTAGGAGAGCCGACTGATTGAGGGGATATAGGCTCCATCAGTTGGAGGAGGCCTCCAACGCCGTCTACCTCCGTGTCTTGGCAGCCTACTTGGGGTCATGAGCCCGAGCCGAGGGTATCGGCGTTGGAACATTCGAAAGGGAAACTTAGCGAATCATCAGTGAGTCCCATAGTGATGAGGGCGCTTACTTTGCTGACTTTAGGTGGCTCATGTGGGCTCAGATCACGTTACAGTGGATAGGCTGCTTTCGAAGTTAGGGCTGTGTAGCCGTACGTTAGCCATACACTGGCTCTAGAGGATATGGAAATTCCCACAGGCACAGAGGCTGGACGGCTTATCGAGCGTGGTCGGATAAGTATCAATGGTCGGCCGATTGTACAGAACAGATGGGTGAATGTTCATAAGGACTCTATACTGGTAGTAGGGGATACCGGAGAGGGTGGTAAGGAATTATGGTGAAGCGCAGGTTAATGGCACCCCGCTAGAGGCCACATGTCGGCTAACTTTGCTCATGCATAAGCCCGCAGGGTATGTGGTCAGCCGAGATGATCCTCTGAATAGGGATACTGTAGTCTGGTTCATCGATGATACGGACACTTTCGTGAGGGGCCTACTACCCAGGTATTCCAACTGCTGCCTGACCCCAGCGTATACATCGGAGCATCTGGTCGTCTTGATAAGGATACCACCGGTAGAGCACTGGTTATCGTCATCATACTCCTCCTCCTGCTCCCTCTACTCTGAGTAGGTCTCCTGCTGCTTACTAACGATACCTATTTGCAATCATCATTGGTGGATCCAGTCTATAAAGTCCCCAAGGTCTACCGAGTGGTAGTGAAGGGAGCGGCCCTCAACGGGGCACAGCTCATGGCACTACGCAGTGGGGTCTCGCTAGAAGGTGAGTAATGGAGAATCAACCATTCGTGCTATGCTACGGTAGACGGCCCGACCCTGCCTGCACTGGTGGAGCCTCTGGACGTGAATGGAGACCCTCTCCCACTTGAAATGAGCGAATATGACCGCTACAAATGCAAGCAGTTGAATATCACTCTATGGGAGGGACGGAACCGGCAGGTTAGACGGATGGTCGAGGCTGTAGGGTAAGTAGGGGACTGATCAGCTTAATGGGATCTACTCTTCACCTCCTCCCTGCAGCATATGCAGAGTCAGGTCCACAGTCCGGGACTTGTGCCGGATACAACTGGGCCCTTTCTCGCTTCATGCAGCTGGAGTGCCGAACCCTGGAGATGTGCGTCAACTCACTATAGATGAGGTGGAGACATTGAAGACCTATATCAATTCACAGGCTATGCGCACCAAGAGATTCCGCAAAGTTGGTATTGGCAGCAGTGAGATTTCAAGCTCTGGTTCATGATTTCCGAAAATAATGTGTGAGGTTTCTGTCCATTCACTGTCTTGTGCATCATAGTAGAGGCTTCCTTCTAATAGCAGGCTTTGTCGCTAAAGGGGATTCTCCTTGAATGGTACTGGTCTCAGCAGGTCTATGTTCCCCCTTTTTTAAACCGTGATCAATACCAGCATAGATGTCTGGCTCCTGCATAGCATTGCAGTTGGAAGAGGCAGAGGCACTGAGATCTGTCTATGGAGGCGAAGATGGATTCATGTGGTTACACGAGCCTGATGGGGACGATGATATAGCAGAGCCTGCGTACTATCTTTTCACTGCTCACTACTCGAGAGCATCTCAGATACGCAGTGACAGTGCGCAGGGACGGCCCAATGGAGTGTTCAGTGACGATGATGTTCACACTACCACCTGAGTACCCCTTGAATGAGTATGCTGTGCCGGAGATAGTAGCAGTTGAGGGTTCGGAGTCGGTGCAGAGGAAACTGCGTACTATGGGGGGAAGCACGCTAATACTAGAAATGCTACGTGGTGAACTGCTGTATTCATGAAGTTTTGGAAGAGAAATATTCCTAGCATTCTTTGCCAAACTGAGGGCATTAATTATGGAGGTGAAGCATAGTCGGTGCAGTGGAACTCCGACCGTTTGGTGTATCAATTCCAACTAAGGTAAAATTGAAGATGCAGTGGCTACCAGTGTGCGACAGCAGTTGAAGAGCGGCTATGATTTCCCAATCCTCGCATCTCTGGGGCCACCATTGACCGATCTCCTCGCTCATGTGAGGTCTCTAACCTACACCATGGGACTGTTATAACCATAGGCTCATCTTAGTTTGAGGAGGAGTGGATCGGTATGGAGATTGAACGCGAGAAGGAAGAGGCAGCAGAGGAAATGGACAACTACGCCTGGGCCACTCACCTAGCCATCCCGGTAGAACTCCTCGGTGTTCTTAGCCTCATCGATGCACCGGGTAGTAGGCACAGAAGTACGAGCAGAGACATGGCCCTCCTGTACTTGGTCGTAGGATGATATACTCTCATCACATATGGAGCCCTACTAAACGGAAATATATCCTAGAGTGGGCCAGTAGGCTGCCCTCTCCTGCTCCCCAATTGCGCTATGCATTGGCCCTCAGGGGCACTCCGTCTCGGCGGTATGTCGAAACTGGGATATCCCGGCTGTATTCTCATCGAGGGCGATGAACGTGACTGCGCTGAGTTTGTCAATCTTGTGACCAGGTGACCGATTGTCTTATACACCAGCAGGAGATCCATGCTTTAGGCTACGGTGGAAGTATATCGGGGTACGAGGAGAAGAGCAGGTGCCTGTGCTTCCTGGGAAGTGCTTGGACGATATGCGGGCGTTACCTCTATCATTCACGGAGTACGGTTGGGATGATATGGACAAGGTCGCGGCTCGGTGGGTTATGGGGTTGTCCTTGGACATGGGAAGGCTTGCTCTTGCTGTTTACTCGCAGGTGTAGGGAGGCTGGTCTTGAGGAACTGTTCCTGACGTGTATGAAGATATATGGCGGTAAGAAGAGCAAGGAGAAGAAGCCACAGACGAAGTCGAATGATGAGAAGAAAAAGGAAAAGAAAAAGCGATGAGCATTCAACTACTAGTGATGCTGTTTGTATGTGTTTTATGATGGGTTTTCTATCCATGTTTGGTAGTTGTGTGGTAGTGCGTAGTTGCTGAATTGAGTACTCCCTCTGCTGGCCATACTTCTACAGCATCCTGCTGCATCGTGACCAGACAGGTACGTTCGAAGGCCTTTGTTGGACCACATAGTTCGGTTGCGCGGGTCGCAGCCCGGGTATTTTGATGGAATGTTTCGCTTTGGTCAGGTCGGGATGCAATTAATTGCCTCCGTAGTGAGTTGAACAATTTTGTAGTATGTCTGCTGCTGCTGTTGCATGGTTCCATCTCCAGCTCGAGGAAGCGGAGGCTATATGTGCGGCTTATGAAGATGATTGTGATTTCATATGGCTGCACAAACCAGAAGGCCCGGACGACGGGGAGACAGCGTGAGTCGTTATTGTGAACTCCCAGTAGAGTTACTCATACCCTTTCATCATAGGTATGCAGTCACTGTGAGGGGTAAGGTTGATGCTGAGACGAGTGTAACGTTTATGATAACATTACCACACGGGTACCCTTCGGCTGGAGAGGAGAAGGCCTTCCCTGAGATAACTGCGGTCGAGGGCTCAGAAAATGTCAAGTATAAACTAGGTGAGGATGATAGAAATATCAATCTGACAAGTTGTCAGAATGATTATTGTTAGTGACAATAATTGTTCTCCGAATCTATATTGTAGACAATTGGCGAAGTCACGACATTGTTGTGTGATTCAGGGAACTTGCAGGAGCTCCTTGCCGCGAACGTCCGGTCTCAGATGAAATCCGCTTATGAATTCCCCGTCCTCGCCGCTCTAGCCCCGATCTCGGATAGACTCACGAAAGTAAGTGTGAACATCGCCGCCTCCACTTATAATGTTCCCAACAGCTTGGTGAAGAATGGCAGACTAAACAACAGGAAGAGATGGCGGCTAAAGAGGACTATGATTCTGTTGTACGAGCAGCAGTCAAAGTACGGCATGAAGACTGAGTTCGGTTAGTATTGATGCAGGCAAAGAAGTCAGAGCTCCAGAAGGGTCCGCTGATGCTGGGGAGGAGGATGATATTTTTCCATCACATACGGAGTCCCTACAAACGTCGATGCATACAAAAATGGGCCAGTAAGATAATTCGATTATTCACATTCGAGGGCAGACCGAAGTAGCAGACACATTCCAGTATACTTTCAGATGACCTCCGACTGGGAGGGATGAGTAAAATAGGTTTCCCTGGATGCATCGTCGTGGAGGGGGATGAACGAGATGTGAGCGAATATGTGAATATGGTTTCGAAGTAATTCCTGATGTCTTCATGTCTCTACAGTTGTCCATGTTTTCAATCAGGCTCATCTGGCGGCTCATGGAGGTGCGAGGTGATGAGCAAATCCC